TACAATGACATATTTCCTAAGATATAAACAAGTGGAACAATAACTTGAGTATACATTGAAGTCTGCCATTCTTCTTTTTACTCACCATCGACGTAATTAATAGTCAAATTTGGTACATATTTGACATTTGCTATCGCCCTGTGCTAAATTTATTTGCTTCGACCATCAACAAATTTCTCCAAATCCACATTTTTTTTAGGGTTAAACTGAATTGTGAACAAATGCACTGTATGTTTCTAAGTATATGTACAATATAGAGAATATAACTATATATAGGAAGTTTATGACACTTACCATATAGGTATTTACACAATATATTCTAACATGAATAATTTCAAAAGAATTATTGTACTCCCTCCGGTTCTTAATATAAAACATTTTGATTTGTTATAAATTTTATCTAGTACGCATTTTTAATTAATAAAAAAACTTTAAAACTATTTCCTAACAATAAAGAGAACACGAATGTGAAAATATATTTTTAAGGTTTTTTTTGTCAATAAAAATGCGTATTAGGTGAAATTTATAAACAATCAAATTGACTTATATTAAGGACTAGAGGAAGTATTATATTGCGATGAATTTATGTAATTGGATGATTGTTTTTGGATAAGCACATTCATATATGCACGGGATAAAAATGCAGACCTGGGAAGTAAGACCTGATCGTTTGGCTGCCGGTATGACCATGACTATTACCACATGCAAAAATCAGACGATCTATTTAGGATAAATGTGGTTTGCCTGATGGATGTAGTTTAATTATAGGACTAAATCAACGTACTCAATCATAATTAAACTTGAATTTAGACAGACCAGATTCCACGTACAATTGAATGATTGCTAATTATTTGAATCGGAGAAGCTAATCCTTCAAAATCGTAAAGAGTCACCATAACATGAACGGGTTATTATCAGAACTCCATGATTTGGATACATCATCCAGATTTTCCTGGATTTGAAGGTTATTCTTGAAGGCCCATGCAAGCCTATATATAGTTCTAACTCAAAACTAATTGGTAGTAAGGAGAGTAGTATATAAGATATATATATTGGGTTCAAGTGTTTTCTTCCATCCATGTAAAATAAAGAAACATGAGACTATTTTCTTTCTTTAATTCATTTAACAGTTATCTCTGCGATAATCTCTATGGCGTCTTTATAAAATTTTCCCTTGACTAATCAACTTCTATCTAGCTAATGTCTTTCCTATTACTCATTAGATTGTTATAAGATGGTGAAAACCAAACTATTTAGAAAGTTGAGTCAAATTCTATTTGAGAGCAGCATTTTAGATACCCGGATATGACATAGAAACAATAAATTGGAACACCTCTGTTCTAAAAGAGTAATACACTCATTTTTCTTTAATTTCTTTCTTAAAACAAAAGGGAAAACCAGATTTATAGTATATTTTTTAATTTCTACAAAAATTACTATGGAATAGAATATTCTTCCAACTCAATTTATTTTTCTCGAAAAAAAAATTTCAGAGAGGTTTGGGCAATTTAACAAGTAGTTTCCAAATAGGAAAAAAAAGAAAATCCATTTTCCGTTGATTTTTAATGCTAGATAGTTGTTGCCAAAAAGTTTCCAAAAAATATAAGGGAAAAGAAAAATCGCGGGAAAGGTGGGAGCTGGTATGGACTTGTCCCCACATTTTCATTTTAAAATTAATTTCAAACCGTTAGATTACGAATTTTACTTCCTTTACGGGACCCACGTATTCAGCATCTGTATATGCCCCGGAACTGACACGTGTACAATCGGTCAACACATTTATTGAAAAGTTCACTTACCCTGCACTGTAACGTGGTAAAAGCCTCCTGACAAAACTGCCCCTGAAGATTTGGTAACGGCTGCCCGAATCCCATCATAAATATATTTGTTTTGCCGGGATTTTTTCTTTTCCAACTTAATTTCTTGTCTCTATACTGAATTTTTATCACCAAATTTATGGAAAAGGGAGATTCAGAAGAAAAACTGAACTTGATCTCTGAATCGGTGCTGTTTTCCAATAAGAAAATGATTAAAAGAAAAGATAAGTTAAAAAGAATCGGTACAAAGTTGTTATCTTTCGACCGCTTTATCTCTTTGTCTGCTAAATGGTGTAAGAGAAGGTGTCGTGTAACATCTTCATGCGAGAACTCTAGGATATGGTCCAGTTGTAAATGTGGTGAGTTTGATCTTGAATATGTGTAATGATAATTGATTTTAACTTATTTATTGAAAAAATACAGCTAAATTAATTAGTTTATTAAATGCTTAGTGTTTTTCATGGGGAAATTAAAGAAAGTCTTTTTATTTTTGTTGATGACTGTCAAAGTTAAACGGAGATAGTAAATGCTTGTGTTGTACGGGACTTTAAAAATAGTTTCATCGCCCCCTTGAAAGTGAGATGAAAATAGGCACAATCTAGCTAGTAGAGAGGAATTTGTATTTACATTTGATTTTAGTATTGAAGAAGGTTGAAGTCTTGAAAGGGTCGGAAAAGTGATATTTCTGTATATTCTCCATTCAAGAATAACTAAAAAGGAAGGTACTTAATGATATTTCAATGTTATATGTGCAGTGTTATATACATGTACGGTTTAACTTTTTATTGAAATTTATTATACTAGTAACATTTAAATTATTCATGATTAAACTATTTAGACAACAACAGTTTAGAATTTATTTAAAATTATTACACATACATATATACCTTCATATTTCATCAGCCAATGTCACTTTTCAGATGCAACCTTTTTATGTTCTTCCATTTTTGCGGGAAACAAATAGTATTCTTTTGTTATAAGTTTAATAAAATTTTTCTACTCAAAGCACGTGGACATAGCCAAAATTACCGATTATGTATATATTCATGGGGGGAGGGTGACACATGGTTTAAAAGGGAAGTCCAATATTTTGGTAGGATTGGCATATGTCATTTTTCTATCTATCTTTTGGTACTTTTTCCCATCCTAAAATGATATTAAATATATTATATTATTTTAATTTTAATGATACAAATATCGGTTTCTTTTTCTTTTTTTTTTCTGTGAAAACTGGGCATAACTTTTTTTTTTTTGGTCCAAGGATTCACTTCATATCCTTCTTTCGTTCAAAAGATAAAGTCACTCACAATTAAGTGCCCATTGAACAAATGTAATACCACAAATGTGGAAATCATTTTAAGATGGAGGGATAACTTATTTTGATGGTTCGCTTCATAGTGTTTTTTTTTTCAATAAATTAAATCAATTTTATGAGAGACGTACTCATAATTAAGTGGTTATTAACCGATTTCATCATTCAAAACATTCACATTTTCAATTCTCGTAAAACCCTAAAGTAACGGTGTTGATTATCAAAACACAGTTCCAATATATTTGAGTTACACTAATACAGATTCAAAGAACGAGCGTTTCAACATTTAAAGGAGATTTCTTTTCTTTTTTTTTTTTAAAAAAAGAAGTAATCAGACGTACGCGTGATGTAATTAATGGCATTATCGCCAGCTAGAATAATACGTTTTCTTTCAAGATTTAGGATTACAATGTCAAAGAACTAATAATCAGTAATAAATTACTTGTAACTGAGAGTATATAAATTCCAATTAAACCATCACAATAATTGGATTCCCACATGTAAATTAAACATCTATAATACGCAGAAAAGAAAAAACATCATTAGATTCATTACCACTCGATAGTCGGGGTTTCTAGAACAATTTCCATTACGAGGTAATCAATCATTAAAAATGATTAATTATTATTCATCAATAATGCAGCATCGATCATCACCAAAAATTATTGATGACTAAGCTTAATGCTTCTTTTATGGTGTACAAGAATATAAAATCATGAAACCATATACCCGAAGTAATTAATATATATTTAAGGTTGACATTGTCTACGAGAGCAGAGAGGAAAAAACATGTCACTATATTGTATGAAATATACAATGAACAAGTTGTTCGAAGTAGTTGATTTTTTTAACTTCAAAATACTATTGCTTCATATGGTCAACTAATATGTCTCTAAGGTTTGACTATACTAGAAGGGTACATACTTATACCCCCATATAAAATCCAAACACTGTGGCTAGACTTTTTTTTTTTTGGATTATAATAAATTATATAAGTTATATTATGAACATTTATTTACTTAATTATTTCCGGTTAGGTGAGAATTTTTGGCCATGGACTTGTATTAGCTTGCTGGCCCTTTTCAGAATAAGAAATCCCAATTAATGATACATTTTGAACAAGTAATTTGGCTTCTTAATTATTTGTATTTTTCATTCCATGGATCCATGGTTGAAATTATATATTCAATTTTCTATTGCTTAAAGAAAAAAAAAGAAGAAAGAAGTGTATCTATTTGCGATGGGAAAAAAGTAGGTGCAGATCATACTAACTCATTTCACAAATCATATCCATTTGTGCAGTCAACTTCTGTTTGGTCCTTACAATATTAAATTTACAGCAAAATATTGCATATAATGTTTAATTAAACTGACTGATTAATATAATCAGCTGGTCTTCGTCGATAGTTATTTCTCAACTAGCTATATATGCATAGGGGCATCCCTTAATTTCTTGGTTAATAACTAAATCGGCAATATCATTAATTTCTGTAAAAATTAATTGGATTCAGCAATGAAAATTTGCATACATATCATCAGCCTAACGAATGTGATTAACACAAACACAAAAAAGGATAAAAAAAAAAAAGAAAAGAAAAAGAAGAAGCTAAAAATTAGTTACCAAAAATCTAATGCATGAAAGTGTAAATTGGATGAAGGACAGAGGGCAGATCCGTCCATACAAATAATATAACAAAGGAGAAGAGATGATCGGACAAGGAAGCTAAGAGAGAAGCGGTTTCGTTAGACCTCCATTAGGGAGTTTTTCTTCCGAGCCTTCGGTGGTTTTGCCGTTTTAGTACCCTTAAAAAAAAAAAAAAAAGAGGTAGCCAAAGTAAAGAAGTACTCCTTCTCTAGCTTAGCTTAGCTAAGAGCTACTGTGTGAGTGTGTGTAAATTGTTGGGGATAGAGAAGAGAGAGAGAGAGGTTAAAGACAGAACGGACCGCTTTATCTTGAAAGGTTTGGTTTGCAGAGAGAAAGTCGTCTGCTTCTGGTTTCTATTCCATTAATTTTTCTCTTCTCTCTAACAAAAAAAATCAATAAAAATGAATAGATAAAAAAAAAAAAAGAAAAGGAAAATAAAAAGACAGCTTTGTTTCAACTAGCTTAATTTGTCTGTAGCTTATATTGCATTCAATTCTTCCTTCTCTTTTTTCTCTTGGTGGTTTTTTTTCTATCCGATCTCCTCAACCCTCTCTTCATTAAAAGCCTCCAAGAACTCACCGAGTAACCGACCGCTTTTTTTTTTTCCTTCTCTTTTTAATTATTTCCTCTCTCTTTTTTTGATTCATCCTCATCTCTTCCTCCATTTTATCTGCCTATATAAGATTATGGGGGTTAGAGGAAGTGAAAATCATCACAAGCACTTTGAGACTGTAGTTTTATAGTGTAAGTTTTTTTTTTTTTAAGAAAGGGCTTCTTCTTTTTTTTTTATTTTTTTATTGTAATAGAGAGTTTTGTTTTTGAGAAGAGAAAGATGGGAACTTTTGCTGATATATCTGATCAGCAGCAGCAAGAAAGCAAGCTGTTTGCAGTTGGACTTGGAGGAGGAGGAGCTGCTGGAGCTAATTCTGGTACATCTGCAGCTTCTTCTGCTTCACCTTTCATGGCGGCTTCTTCCAATAAAACCAACAACAACAACAGTAGTACAGAGTTGCTCTTGGACAACAGCCAGCAGCACAATCATCATCATCATCATCATCAGGGTCAACAACAACTACTTCATCATCAGCATAATCAGCATCATCAGCAGCAGCAGCAGAACAACAATATCAATCAGATATCATTTGGGATGATGCAACCCAACTCTTCTTCATCATCAGTTCTCCCCAGCAACTTCATGTAAATTTAATTTAACCCCACCCCTTCTTTCAACCACTCTCTCTTCAACAATTATATTGAATTTCATTTTCCTTCTTCTTCTTTAATGTTCTATGTTCTATAACTAATTATTTTGTGAATTTTTTTTTTTAATCTTGGTGGGGTCTCTTTTTTAAAAAAAAAACAATCTGCAGAGGTAAAGATGCTGGAGCTTATGATTTGGGAGAATTGGATCAAGCCCTTTTTCTGTACCTGGATGGACAAGAACCCACTGGGATGCAAGAACAAAGACGTGAGATTTCGTTTTTGTTTTCTTATAATTATGTGTGTTCAGATGATTTACAAAAGTGCTTCTTTTTGTGTAAAACCCTTTTCTTGTTCAAATTACTTTCTTCCATCTTCTTCTTCTTTTTTCCTCCTAAAACTATTCCTTATTCCCAAAAAGATTCTGCTGGGGGGAGAAATGGATTGGAATAACGTTTTTTTTTCTTTGTTGTTGTCGCTTTTTGGGTCACAAGGAAAGTGTGTTGTTTGTTCTTAAAATCTTCTTCTGACTCTCCTCGGTGGTGGTGGTGGTGCTGCTGCTGCTGGTACTTTTGTTTTGACCAGATCCTCAAATAATTTGTTTTTCCAGTTTCCAAAGACTCCTACAGAGGCAAGAAAAAAAAAAAAAACCATGGTTTTGTTATGTCCTTTTTTGATTCTCTTTGAACAAGTTCTTGGGATTGGGGTATCTATTTTTGGACCACCATTTTTACTCCTTCCACAACAAACTTTTTTCTGAGATCAACCAAATTTTCTTCAGATTTTGTATTCTTTCCAAAAACGGGTACCAATCAAACCATCTTTTCTTTCCCAAACCCACAGAGAGTTTTTCAAACTGCACCACTAATTCCCAATTTCAATTATTTGTTTCAGACCTTTAACCACTCCCCCGATCTCTGATCCCTGATGATGATGATCATCTCTTGTTCAAAATATTCTTTTCACTTTTTTTTTACTGGAATTATAATGATTGATGATAAACCTTTTCTTTTTCTTCTTTTTACACTGTGAATTTTTATTTATTTTTTTTTTTATTTGGGGTTTGAAATATTTGGGTTAAGTGAAAGATGATATTGAATCGGTCACGCGTGCAGAGAACTCAGCTGGGATGAGACCTCCAACTCTCAACATATTTCCATCCCAACCCATGCATGTAGACCCATCCTCATCATCAGCTAAGGTACGTACTTACGTCTCCTTTTAATTATTATCATTAAGTATATATGATTATACCGTTAAAGTAACTCCCCCCTTTTTTCCTTCATCTTTTCATCATCGTTAAAAAAGAGGGTTCTTGAAGAACTTAATTATCTATAAATTAATTAATGAAAAGAAAGTGATCAATGTATATGATTTTTAAGGGGGGGAATCGAAGCTAATTTGTACTGTTTTGGTTGCTCTTATTAATTTGGTTTAATTTGTACTTATGTGTTGATGTTTTGTGGATTTGGTATAGGCAAGTACCGGGTTGGTTTCCAATTCACCATCTTCAACCAGTGGCTCCAAGAGGTCATCTGAGCCGTCCATGGATTTGTCAAATAATCCAAGAAATGATGTTGCATCTGCACCTGATCAACCATCTAAAGCTGTTAAGGTGTGGGACTTATTTAGTTATATTCTTATAACTAATTCATACTAATAATTATGTGTTTGCACAAGAATTCCTTCTTCCCCCTTTTTTTTTCTTTAAAAAAAAAATCAAGTCAACAAGTATCATATTTGCCGGCAAACAAATGATTGATTTCGGTTAGTCCCTTGCTTGTAGACTGAGATTTGCTGTTTATTATTTAATTATATCACTCCTCTTCTGTTTTGTAATTATTGGATTTATTAAAATGCGGGGCTGCTTTTTTTTTTTTTATTTATTTTCTTCTTCCTGAAAATGCAGCGTGAGGGAAATCGCAAAGGACCAAACAATTCAAGTGCTACTTCGGAGCAAGAAGGTCCCAAGACACCAGACCCTAAGGTAAAAATGTTTGTTCCTCTTTTTTGCGGAAAATTTTTTACCTACATTAATTCTTGGCTTCCTCATTTAATAGTGCTGTAAAAAAGATGATTTGTTTTCTCACATAATACTCATTACCTCCATTTTTCTTTTTCACCACAGACATTGAGGAGGCTTGCTCAGAATAGAGAGGCAGCTAGGAAAAGCAGGCTCCGGAAAAAGGTTAGTACAGCCCTCCCAACATGATTAACTATAGTCCTTTTATTCACTTTCCGAAATAAATGTTTTAGACATTCTTCGTACACTAATATTTAATTGCTTCATTTTTTTAAATAAAAAAAATTGAAAATTGTAATTTTTAATGATTTTCTTCTGCTTGATTTCGCCACAGGCTTATGTTCAACAGCTTGAGTCAAGCAGGATCAAGCTTACTCAGTTGGAACAAGAACTTCAAAGAGCTAGAGCTCAAGTAAGAAAATATAAAACTCAAAATTAACATTACTCCAAAATTGTCTTTAATTACTGTCTTTTTGCTGATACTGAAATTTTCTTGATTTTGCAGGGACTTTTTTTTGCTGGATCAGGCCTTTTAGGAGGAGATCAAACCATTCCCAATACTATGGGCCACACTACTCCCGGTAAATGAATCTACAAAATCATTATTATTATTATTTTTTTGGTTCCCTTAATTTGGCACTATGAAAAATTGCTGATGACGTGGCGTTTACGGTTTCTAGATGCGGCGGTGTTTGACATGGAGTACGGGCGGTGGCTGGACGAGCACCACCGCATGATGGTGGATCTCCGGAACGCATTGCAAGATCACGTGCCAGAGACTGAACTCAGGCTCTACGTCGACAACTGCTTGGCACACTACGACGAAGTGATGGGACTCAAGGGCATGATCGCGAAAACCGACGTGTTTCATCTGGTTTCCGGCATGTGGAAGACTCCGGCCGAGAGGTGCTTCATGTGGATGGGTGGTTTCCGGCCATCGGAACTCATCAAGGTACTCACGCGCCTTTATTCTCTCCCCCGCTCACAAAGTATACGTAAAACAGTAAAATTAGTAACAAAACCCTAACCCGCTAATATAGGTTACGTGAAAATCAAGACAATTAATTAACCACTAAAACACGTTTACGTAAAAACTAAACCCTAGCTACTTGTGAAACTTTTGAACCTGAAAAAAAAAAAAAAAGAAAACGGAAAGGACTTTTGTCTTGAAACTGGACCAAAGGAGCTTCATAGACTGAGGCGACAGAAGAAAACGTTAATATAGGTGAGATCAGAGGTCTTATATAATTGAAGAGATCCGAGGAGAATATTGTACTGGAAAACTACTACATTAGCTTTTTTGTCGGTGCTTTGTTGATGTATAATAATATAACTCTAATCTCGAAATTCTGAAAAGAATGATATGAAGTAGTGAAAACTTTGCAATGGGAGGTTTAGTTTCAGAACGTTTATACAGATGCCCTACTCTGCACATTCGTCTTTCAGCTATATATATATATATATATATATATATATATATATATATATATATACAACAATATTGATTCTCTCTTTCTTGTTTTTGGAAAATGATAGATGCTGGGACGAATGTGGTAATTAGAGGAAAAAAGGGTGAAAAGAGAAGTTTGGTTTACAAAAATTTTTTAAAAGCTTATTTTCGTCAAACTTATAATTAGTGAAAATATAGTGCTATTGTTTATCAGTAAGCTAGGGTTTTGCTTGACTAATAAAGCTTTCATAACAATATATGTCGTTTTCCCTCATTTTCAACAACACTGTGTACATCTACAAGACTAGTAAGTTATGACAAATTGAAGGAAAATGATGTATATGCATGCCCTTAATGCCAAATTGTGGATGATAATCCTGTCATTATGTGTATCAGTATAATTGATGAGTTTCGTTTCATTTGTGACTGAAAACTTAAAAACGCATTATTTTCCATGGTATATATATATGTGATTTGAATGGGGTTTGCCTCATAATGAGCAGATAATAATGGGTCAAATAGAGCCATTGACGGAGCAGCAGTTGTTGGGGATATGCGGACTGCAACAGTCAACGCAGGAAGCAGAGGAAGCACTGTCTCAAGGACTTGAAGCTCTGAATCAGTCACTTTCCGACACCATTGCTTCTGATGCTCTCAGCGGCACCACCAACATGGGCAACTACATGAGTCAAATGGCTGTCGCCATGAACAAACTCTCCACCCTTGAAGGCTTTGTTCGACAGGTATTTCTTATATTTATATTATTATCCCCGGCCATTTCATATTACTAGTAGTGTTTATTTTCTTATAAATTATTCCTCTTAATATGTAACACTAATTATCTCAAACTAATTGCTAACTACTTCACCACCATGGATATGGATTCCGCTCCCAAATCTTAATCAACAATAAACACTATATCTCTGATGTTTCTGTAACTTCAAATAAGAAAAATATCCATACTTCTTTTAAAATTATTACATGTAATTTTAATGTCTTACAAAAAAGAATATATGTCCACTCGAATTGAATTGATCATGTTGAAAAGAAACAAAAAAAGAAAAAAGAAGGGGGGTCATAGTCGTAAGATGGACAAGAATCGGCTCATGCCTTTGAGTTGGGAGACCTACTCCAACTGATTACCAACTCCTTCTTCTTCCATCCAGCTAATTAATTACTACTATTTGGACAAAGTGAAAGAACCAGAAAAGCTAAAATTAGTTTTTAGTTATAAATATGTGTTTAACAAGCCCTAAAGTAATAGTGGCTTAATTATAGGGGTTCCCCCGGTCAATGAGAAATCTCCGACGTCCGATTTGTCCATCCCGATTGAGGTGTTGGGGTCCTTTTGAATTAGATGTACAGTAGTCACACTTTTTCTAAATTTAGTATCTTTATATGGTCCCATTTCTATGCGTGTGTCACCATCTGACATGGCTGTTGGCTCCAATTAATTTCTCCTAATAGTACCATCATTTTTTTTTTTTGACTCTGATTTTCTCCTTATAATAATGCCATATTTCAAGGACTTTGACCTTCTTTGAAATATTGTTCTAGGAGTGAAAAATTTAGGGGTAATAATATGTAGGGAATTATAGTGCTAACTATAGCACAACTTTTGATGGGGGGGCTTAAATTTTGCATGAATTTCAGTAAAGAAAGTAGTAGTGATATTCATAGATGAGGAAATTGATAAGAGTAGGTGATACAATTGCTTAAAATATTTCCCTTTCATAACGATATGATGTCATTGTCAGCCTGATCAATCATATACTTTGAAGAAAATGACCTGCACCCCCCTTGAATTCATAACCTACTAATAATTAAACTTAATTCCTTGACTTTTCAAAAGTTAAAATAATAACATTATGGTAAACCCTATTGTTTGTCCCTAAAGGCTAGAAGTATTTTGAAGATTTTAATTTATTTTCCCCCCATTAAGATAGGAAAATAAGAAATTTTTCGGCAGTGTTGAATGTTACTCGTTGACAAATGTCAGAAGATGAGTAACATTCATTGTATTTTTTCTTTTCGAGTTTAAGAATCTTTTGAATATTTTTTGTAAAATTACATTGATTAGTATCTCGGTCATTTTTGTTAAGTCAAAGGGAAACAGGGCTATATATACAATTGAGAGAAGACTAGAGGAAAAAGACTTCACACATTGGTTATCTTGTCAAGTAATCGTAGAATAATGACACTACAAAATCTTCTATTGGTCAGAATATATAATTATTGCAAGATTAAGGAGGGGAAAAAAAGAAAATGAACTACTAATTCCACATGGCTGCATTATATTGATTTGTGCTGTTGAGTCCATTGGACATATGAACAAATCATTCATCATAATCAAAGTTTTTGGTGTATTTTAGTCAGAGAAGAATATCATGAGATTTCCTATATACATTGTCAAAGGTTAAGACTTTAAGACTTGCCACCTATCTACACCAGAAGTTTACCCTTAATTTATATTTTTCTTCTGCTATTTTTTCCCCTAATGAAGGTGCCCCTTGTTGCATATAGAAAATACATTTATTTTATGAAAGTCAACAACATTCCTGTATGATTCATGCATCTTGAAATGTGTTTGTTAGTACATTATACATGTTTAATTGATTTTTTTTTTCCCATTATTAATGTTAGTTCATTATCTTGATTTTAGAAAAACTGAATGGCTATTTTTCCTTTTTCTTTTTTTTGTTTTGTGAAATTAATTTGCAGGCTGATAATCTGAGGCACCAAACAATTCACAGGCTGCATCAAATCCTGACAACCCGTCAAACTGCAAGGTGCTTTCTGGCCATAGCTGAGTACTTCCACCGCCTTCGTTCTCTCAGCTCTATTTGGTTGAATCGTCCAAGACAGGAGTAGTCGACTTCAGTGATCAACAACTCAGGAAAAAAAAGAATCCCAATGAAAAAGAAAAAGAAAACAAAAAAGGAAAAGAAGGAGAGGAACACCTTAGCTAGCTAGCTATATAGTAGTGATGATCCATCCGGAGCCGAGGATCCAGATGATGATCATCGATATGAAATATTTTCAAAATAGATAGTAATAGTTTCTGCTTAATTTTGCCATTTCCCATAGGGATCGATGTAAAGGTAGACTAAATATGTATGATGGTTAGTTATAGGGCTTATAGCTGGTTTTCTTTAAGTTACATCTGTAGAAGTTGAACCCTTCATTTCCCTTTCTATATATGTACTCTTTTTTCTTTTCCTTCATTTTTTTGGTTTCATTTTGTGTATTTTGTGTATGCTCTAGCTCCTACCAATTTGTTCTCCAGGAAATTAAATTTCAGCCGCGGTTTCTTGACGAAGAAGAAATTAAATTGCTCGTGCATGCATGATTTGATCGAAGAAATCCATATGCAGCTTAACGTATATGTGATTAATCGAGAGGGTTGAAAGAAGTTTTGTTATCGGTTTTGGTTTGTATATTGAGTTGAAATTATAATTGTGATAAGCACTCCTTCTAGTAGAACGAAGATTACAAGCACTCCTTCTAGTAGAACGAAGATTACACAAGCACATAGATGTTATGGATTAGTTAGTGAAAATGTTATGGAAGTAAGTAAAAAGATGTATATTACTCCGTATTACGTACGTAGAGACTTAAAAACTTGATGATTTTTTTTTTATTTGAAGGAAAAACTCGATGATTTAAATTACACATAGTCACGCACTGCCTATAAACATTCGGGTGAGAGCTGAGAAGAATGGGCTGCATTGAGGAGCCCCGGAAGGAAAAACTAATAAATAAATAAATAATAATCATCAACGCGGCTGAATATTTTCAAACACCGAAAGAAAATATTGGATTTTGACGGATTAATACAGGATGAGGATCTTGTAATTTGCAAATAGTTGGCCCAATGGTTGCATATAATAATACAATAAATGTGATTTATATAAAAATAATTACTAAAAAAAATCATTTATAATAAGCACTAAGCTGTAAAAAAAAGAAACATATTAAAAAGGAAAAAATTAATACTTGTAACCAAAAATATTAAAATAATGGAGACAGACTAAAACCTTTTCAGATTCGTAGTAGGAATTTTAAAAGGACCGGAAAAGTGGAAACCGACTTGGGAAACAAGGTGTTACTATACAAATCCTATTGGGCTTTGGAATGAGATTGGGTTGGTATCCAAATCCGGGATGGGTTTCGGTCCAGACTCCAGACTCCAGGGTAGAAATTCTTCTATAAATACTTCTCTTCCCCCCTTTACCTTCTCCCAATTCCAGTTCTCTCTCAAACATCCATCGATAATGGCTGCTTCTTCTTCTCCTTCTTCTTCTTCTTCCTCGCCTTCTTCAACTCAAACTCCTCCACCTTCTTCACCGACGATGCGATCAATTAATAATTTCGAACATCTGAGAGACGTTCTGATCGATTTCGGAAGTTTATGTATGGGTGACCCTAATCCAGATGATGCCGGTGTTCCTCCTCCTTCTGCGAATTTCTCCGAACAGTTTCAGTGGCCACCGCCACCATCACCGGAATCTCCGACAACCCAAAAACTTCTGGATTCTTCTAAAGGTGAAGGTTGGCCGGCGAAAAGCTTAAACCCCAGCGATGACAATGACAATATCTGGGCTCTCCCCCCCAATTTCTACGACAATGTCGGGATCGGAATTCCCCAAGATACTGTTTTTGGCGTCCCTGGAAACCCTTCTTCAACCTATTTCCGTTCAATTCAGTCAATCTACGGAAACCCAAACCCGTGTTATGATTATTATTATCCTTCCAAGTTGCAAAATTCGGGTTCTCTACCCGGTTACAATGCTACTTCTTTTATCGCGAATCAGGGATTGGAAATTCCTGCCACATATTATGCCCAAAGAATGATGAACTACAGTTTACCACCAGGTTTCAATTTCCTCGAGACAGCTTTGAGTCCCACTCGTTCTGTTCAATTGAAGAGAGCTCTGGAACAGGGGAGATATGTAAAAGAAACATTGGCTCAGGTGATTCCATCAATCTTGCTGTTGATCGCTGATCGTAATGGGAGCCGTATGTTCGACACGCTCCTGGAAAGATGCGAAAGCTGTGATCTTTATGCAATTATAATGCAATTCAGTGTAGAGGGAAACGATCCTTTCAAGGCAGCATTATCCTGCGAAACAGGTTCCAGGGCACTGCAGAGATTAATAAGAAAGCTGAAGAACACGGGGCTGGAATCTGGACTTGCATTGGTGCTGTCCCGGATTGCTGAGGACCTCATGAAACATAAGATTGCCTCCCATGTAATTCGTCATTGCTTTTGTGTGTGGGGAGCTGAACAGAACAAGTTCTTATACGATTGTGTTCTTGACTGCTTCTTGTCATTGGCCATGGATCCGATCGGCTGCATTAGCGTCAACGATTGCATCGAGCACATTACCGGTTTGCGAAGATCACACCTCCTGAAACTGGTTGTCAAGAACGCGAGCAGGCTGTCCCGTGATCCGTCAGGGAACTTTGTGGTGCAGTATGTGCTCAGCATTCAAGATGAGTTGCTAAATGAGAGTATCTGCCTTAGCCTTTCAGGGCAATTTGTGGAGCTAGCTCAGAAGAAAGGAGGGAGTCACTTGGTGGAGAAATGCCTGCTTTATTCGGACTTTGGGCGATCGCTCGTGTTGAAGGAGATTTCCAGGAGTGAGAAAACGCTGTCAATGCTGGCTAAACATCAGTTTGGAAACTATGTGATTCAGAAGGCTTTGAAGGTCGCAATGCTGTATGACCAGAACATGTATCAAAGGCTTATTAAAGTGATCAAACACAGTTGCCCTAAACTTGTAGAGAAGTTTGAAGGAAAGTCTTATCTGCAACAACAGCAGTAAAAAAAAGTGTTAGAGATTGAAGAATTTTGTGTACTTCCTTAGTGATTCAGTAAAATTCTGTTTACGGGGGAAGAGTTTATGCAATCTTTTATGTTGAGTTCTTTGTGTCACTGTAAGTTCTTAATCAAACGATTTTGTTGTTCATCATTATATACATATTAGTTTCTGTTATTCAAGTATTTCTCTACGATTAGTGTGAAATTGCCTCCGCCTTTGACTCTGATGCACGCATACTTACAATGTTTCATCAGTGAGTATAATGTTTGATAGTGATTAAGTTGAAAAGGGGTTTTGATTGAATACTAAAAATAGCTCAATGAGTTGATTGAAAGCCTCTAGTATAGTACTAATACTCTTTACATCCAAATATAAAACTTACTCCTTAGAGAAAAGGAATACAAAAATAATAAAATTATTATGCCACAAAAACGTGGTCTAGATTATGTATATCTTACATCAGTTTATAGTTTATTCTAGCTACAAAAATGTTGCCCTCACTCAAATCCAATATTCTGGCTGCTCTCTTGTGGTTACTGTATTAAAATGGGAAACCAGAAAAGAAAAGAAAAGAAATTTTTTTTTTAAAAAAAAGAATATGAAAGGTTACAGTTTGACAACTGGGAAGAGAAGGGGAAAACCGGAAAACCGCAGCAGCGTGATGAAATGGAGTTCATCATAGTCACCCGACCACTGGTGAACGATTCCCTTTATAACTAACCCCCATTCACCTTGTTGGCCACGCCTAAATGGTCAACTTGTTCCGGAGTCTCTGGTTGAGGAGAAGGAGCGCAAATGCCCGCAACCCGATGGGTGTCAGTTCTACATCCGGCCACCAATGCAGTCCTCGTCCACGGGGGAAGTTTGATCGGATTCCGGTGGATATTTTCATCGAGATACTGAAATTGCTGGGGGCCCGCTGAGGCCGCCAAGCTTTGCTCTGTGCCTCTGGAACTTGGCCATCTGGCGGCTGATGAACGGGTTGTGGATTTACTTTAGAATCATCCACGGGAGCATTGCGACTGGGGGGAAATCTAGTAGGAGTATTTTACTTTGTTCAGTACGTTCACTTTATTTGATCTACTTTTTTTCCTTTTCGTGATTGAAGTTTTTCTGCTCTTAAAAAATTTACGATTGTTTCTTTCTTCGCTGAAAAATCCAATCTTTTTGAGTGAGCTAGTGTCTGTGATTTTCACCAGCCATTTGGTTCCTCAACATTAAGGATGTCACACTCATGTACTATTTCTGTCATGTGTTTCCTTATTCGCGTCTTTCTATATGACATCTCTTTTTTCCGCCTCGTCAGGTGTTGCAAATGAAGGCAAAAGAGTCCTCAGCAGCTGATGAAACCATCTCCTGCCAAATTGCAATTGGTGTTTGAAGATCAGAGAAAGCAAATTGTTATGTTGTGGCATTTGTGTCACGTGTCGCGCGTGCCTCGCGCTCAATTCTATTTTCTCTTTAAGGGGGATCCTTCTGACCAGATATACATGGAAGTTGAACTGAGAAGACTGACATGGTTGGAGCAGCATTTAGCCGATCTCGGCAATGCCAGTCCGGCGCTTCTGGGTGATGATCCCGCGAGCTTTGTATCATCAAGGTAAATTAAACTTAAAAAACTCAGTATCAATTTCCTTACAACTTCCACTTCAACGTGCCAAATTGAAATTCAATCTATACTTAAAACATTGGTTTTGGATTTGGGAATGCAGCATCAGGGCACTTAAACAAGAGAGGGAGTATCTGGCAAAGCGAGTGAGCATAAAACTGAGTGCAGAAGAAAGGGAAATGCTGTATTTGAAATGGAATGTCCCACCAGAAGGGAAAGGGAAGCCAAAAAGGAGGCTTCGACTGGGAAACAAGCTTTGGACAGATCCATTGGAGATGCCGCACATTAAGGAAAGTGCAGAAATTGTTGCAAAACTTGTAGGGTTCGGTGACAGTGGAGAAAATGCGTCCAAGGAAATGTTTGAGCTCAACTTTTTCTCCCCTTTGTGACAAAAAGACCTGGGTGGGTTGGAACTTGATATCAAATCTCTTGCACTTGTAAAACAAGAACGATTGTTTGATGTCATCCTGTTTCTATTCTGCAACAAAATTGGCCAAATTGAGAGGACTGACCGCAAAACAAATTGAATTAGGTAAGAACATACGCCCGAAGCGAATTCCTAGAACATAACGTGCGTATATTAGACAAAATGGTAAAATGAATTATACTAAATTCTTTCACATATTGTAAGTGATAGTCCACATTTAATTGAATGAACAAATATATAAAAACCAATTTTAAACATTGGACACAACCAAATTTGAAGTTTTTGAAAGATGGGGTCCTTTGTAATTTCATTTTGGTAAAACGGTAAATACATACTGTTAATCTCCAAACAGCACATCCAGTTGTACAACTGTTATAATTAGCAAAGAGTTGAACTTCAAATATCAAGACCAAATTCCCGCACCAAAAAAAAAAAAAAAAGCCTTCCGCCTGCTTTTATTTTCTAGCAACCTTCTGCTGAAACTCCTGAGCACATTCCCTTGCCTTTATCGGTTGGTGAAGGTAAAACGTTAGTGAATTATGTCTACAGCAGTATGATTGATGAATGTACATGGGCTACAATGCAATTAACTCTTACAATAACTCCTGAATTTGGTGCTAACTGACCAAACACTACAACAGACATTTACAGTATGTAGAGCTGGAGAATACAAAATAGAATATGACTGCTGAATTCTAACAAGGCAAAAGAGGCCAAATACAAGCTTCTTCTGAAAATTGTGGCCAATGAGTATACTTGCTTAATGTTCATTGATTCATTCATTTCATGTAGACAGAGTTTGTACAAATGACAGGACGTCCCCACATTTCTCACAGTTTATGAATTAAGCATCAAAACTTTGCTCCTTCTTCTAGAAACTAGACATGAGTTGGCTATATGTCTATATATTTCCATCTGCTTATGAATTTACATTTGATTGTATGGTGTGTTCTGTATCCTATATGTTGTTTCTCCATAGATACAAGAAAAGAATGTCTCCACCTTCATGATCTGCTGCTAAATGTCACAGATTCAGAAGTACTCCTTGTGGAACTCAAAACGTGTTGATGTTTTGCATGTTAACTCATGGCATAGCTTCTTGAGTTCCTTTGCCAAGACAGGCATCCCACAGTAGAATACACCTGGTAATAGACATTCCATTTTCCAGTCACTGATAACATATTCATAAAAGACACAGATAGAATCTGCTTGTGTGTCCTCTTATTATTATTATCAATTTAATCTTTAAGCCATTAACCCTGTTGCCACATTGCCAAGCTTTCCATTATATCAGGTGGTACATTTGTTCAAACTCTTTCACGAATAGATGTTGTTAATCTACATCTGCAATGTTGAAATATGCATTTTGTAGGATAATGTAGCTGAGTACTGAATCTTATTACCTACTGTGGAATACGGATGCTTCATTGCGATTTTCTTGAATACTTCCCTCCAATTTGGCCTTGCAAAATGTGTTCTTACCTGAAAAAAAGAGCAGTAAATCTTAGTAGTTTTTGTTAAAAACATTCTTGAATAGCTGTGGTAATTAAGCTATTGGAAAAGACTTGATAATATAAGGGAATAACAAATCCTACTCTGGTGCCAGATAAAATGTCTACACCATGTTTGGCATGGTTAAGCGCTTGGATCATGGTGATGAGAGTTGATCTAGCATCGCCCTCTTCATAAACGCTTGTAAGATAGTTATGCATCTCAATCTGGTCCTGCCGTGATGTATGATAGAAATGAAGTTAGCAAAACACACATCTCATTTGTAATTCCTAAACTAACAGGAAAAACAAAAGTTGGAACAAAAGGTTCTTATAGAGTATCAGTCTACCAGATATGTGGCCTTACTTTATGGTCCATCTCGGCAACTTCATCCATGACACCTTTGAACCACTCGAATGATCCTGGTTCCCTTGTAACCCAATAGAAATGGGCTGTTTTAGCTCTTTGTGGCTTCTTTTTTACTGTTGATACAGTGCTTGAAGATGCAATGCTAGTCATACTTCCTGAACTGTCTGATGCATTGGTTTCTGTTGTTGAATATGAATCCTGTGACCATTGTAGAAAATGCTTTGTAAAATTGCCGCATTAGTCTTTTTACCTATAAATACTAGATCCTCATTCCTTGATTAAGACAAAACTGCCATTAGAGACTTACTTGCATCCCATGTTCTTCAGTTTTTGTGTTATTCAGTAGATCCCTTAAAATACTAATGAAAGGTGTTGCTCCAATTCCAAGTCCAACCAAAAGCAACACTTCATAGTTCTGGTAATCTTGTGCAGGTGCACCGTACGGCCCATCTATCAACAGCCGCGGCATTCTGTATACAAAACCATACATCTTCAGGCTTCTTCCCTAGTGATTAGTATAGGATTCTATCTGATTGAAGCTAATTTCCTCAATGGCATTACCTGTTCTCTTCAATGTTTCCCAACTGTCCGGACTTTGCACAATCATTGACTGCAGTGGAAGCATTGACCTGTGTGTAAACTCGCTTTAGTTCTTGAGTCCAGTCTCCAACCGTTCGAATGTGAACACTGATATAATCATCTCCAGGCGCCGAAGTTATCGAAAACGGATGCCTGATGAAGCAAACAGAATTTGATCCTTTTTTTGTTAACAATTTAACTTCCTAAAGATGCTTCACAGAGAAAAAGGCTTACTGATCATCTCACCATTCAAATGGAGAGATTGATGGGCATTGTAAGAATATATACTGCCCACTTTTGTACTTGAACCCATTCGGTTTCGACAAGATCAAGCTGAAAACATCTCCAGGGAGAACTGAAACCTGTGGAAACCAAGTTAACTTGTTAGACTAACGGTTCCAATCCTGGATTTCACCCCCAAAATGAACCAAAATTCATCAAATAAACTGTCACCTTCAAGATTTTAACATCATAGTGCTCGGACCGACACATTCTCAGGCTCCTTTCTGAGGCATAGAGTAAAAGTGGAACAGAAAGATACATCCATGTCTGTCACAGTTCAACAAATGTCAATCAAAACCATTATCATAATCATCAATGTAAAAAATTGGGAATGTTAGAAATGGACAGACTAATTAAGTTGCATCATGTAGTATTTTCTGACCGTTTTTTGCTGCCATCCATGAACAAGGAACAACGATGTTCCATGTATAAGAAGCAAGACATAGACAATGCCAAGAAGATGGTGAGAGTACCAAAATGCATTGAAGCCCGTCAATCTGTTGCACGGAAATGGAAGCTTCACTGCATTCCTTCTAAAGATTCTTGTTGCCAATGTGAATGCCATGATCATCAGAATCACCATTAAAATTCCAGTGATTCCTACCGCACTAGTCAATAGGCTCGCGTAGCTTGGCTTTACATTTTTGAAATCCGTGGCTATTAGCGCAAATTTCTCTGGAGTTGAATGAATTAACCGAGGGAAATCACAAACCAAGTGATTTCCAACATGAACAATTATCCCAATTGCTATAGCCCATGCTACAATCTGATAAGAAGTAACAAATTTTATCAATATGTGTAACTTCGGATATACTTCCTCCGTCCCAGAAAAATAGTCCAGGTTAAGTTTTGAAATTTGAACTAAAAACGGTATAAATCTCAAAATTCAAAGTACGGAAGGAGTAATAAGTTAATGGGTGTATACCAATTTACCAACCTTGTGGAAATTGAGGTTGTCATCAAAAGGGATGAACAACCTTGCTCTAGTGGATCGAAGCCAAGTCAGAGTGTTTCGACAAACAGGTAAAAGAATGATGGCCATGTTGAGTTTCAATGTCTCAGCAGCACCTTTAGCACTAGTATAACAATAACCCATCACGTGAAATGCTGCTCTGTTTCTGTACTGAATGAATTTCCAGGTGAACAATCCAGCCATGGCCATTACCCAAACCAGCAAAATCCAACCTCTTTGCCAGTTCTCCAAGAACAGGGATTTCAAACCAGAGTTTAATCTGCGCATGATGGCGTTCTTGGGCCCAATATGGGCCAAGTTCTGGCTCCAGTAGCCCACACTTGTTTGGCTTAATGGCCTGCTGTAGTTCAGGTAGGTGTCCTTTTGTAGAAGTAGAGTTTCTAGCTGCCATAACTGAAACACATTCACAAAGAAAATGAGAATTTTTCACCAATTTTGTGCCTATCCAAGCATCAAGATTGTCCAGAAAATAAGTCCATGTTCGTTGCATTATTGTAATTCAACAATGTGAATTATTTTTTCTGGGACGGAATACTTATAATCCGTTGATATAAATCCCTTCGATTTTGTTTTCTTTATTTTCCAAAAATGCGTTCCGTATTTCAAAATTTTCTTACAACCGTAACTTTTTTTCCCCTAACTTTTACTAAGATTTGGGTATTTTATTTAATTTGGACTTATTTACTGTCCAAAAAAAGAAAGAAAGAAATAATGTAATGTAAATTTGTTACCTCAATGTAACCCAGATTTTCTGGGTCTAATTCCTCCATGATTAAATCAGCGTACTCTTCAGCGTGTTGCTTCAATTTGGACAACTTATTTGCAGATGCACTCAGCACTATTAACTGTCATGTAAAAAATTGGAGAGATTAGCCCCTTATTCTGGAGGTAAACAAAATCGAAATGTCCAAAAGGAAAAAAAAAATTACTTGGCATTTTGAAATCATGTTACGTCTGTTTAACTAGCATGATTCTTTTTACGACACGGCAGAAGTATTTTTTTTTTTTTTAATTTCGTACAGACTTACAATGATTTCTATGAATTTCAGGTAATAATTTTGTCATTAGTACGTTTGCATTACTTGCATTGCATACCATACTATTCGTCATGTACCAAAGATAATTTATTCTACTATCAAGAATACCATAGAACAAAAGATGAAATTAAGATTCAAATTAGAACAATTTTTATTTTAAGTTTTGTTAGTAAGGGTCAATTTAACATGACGTCTTTACTCACACGCTTTCTTCCTATGTGAACACCTAATCTCAAAGAATGAAAGCTCATTTGTTAAAATAAATTTGGACCATTTTGATAATAGCCTGTTGCCAATTTATAGAAATGTTACTTTCTTTGGGTTGGTAATTTGGTACATACAAGAGGGATTTCTATAAAAGACATTAATTATTTCTTCCGTCTCATTTTAAAATTTATAATCTAACAAAGTGAATTATTAAAATAAGACAAAAAAACTGCCAAGAGGTTCTTAGCTGGTTATCCTAAAGAAGCAACATTGTGGGGGATGAGTTACAAGTAAAAATGAAAAGAGAAGTAGATGAAAAAAAGTGGCAAGAAAGCAGTGGAATGTTTGCAAAAATTTCCAAGAATATTTGGTAAAACAACCAAAGACATAAACACCATGAGGAGGGGTGGGTTTGCATGAATCCATCAAACTGTTGCTTAATCATCTTTGATAATGGAGATTGGAAAAAGCAAGTTAGATAAGACGTAGCTTTGACTAATCAAATTAACCTTTTTTCGTAATCTTAACAAAAAAAAAAGACAAAACTTTTAAATAAAATAAACAAAATTAAAGTGAAACACCACCCCCCCGAAATTTCCTTACCTCTCTTACTTCATCCTTTGTAATTCTTCCGTCTTCGTTGCTATCCGCCCTACATTTTCAAACAAGAACCAAAAAAATAAAAAAATTAAAAAATTAAAATGTGTAAGTAAATTGATAATATATAATTGTCCTAAAAAAAAGTCTCAATTTTCGTTTTACCTCTTGAGTTTAAGAAACATTAACAATTTTGGGGGATAAAAAGATTAAATACCATATCCATCACCAATCTCTAATTATTCAAAAACTAGCAAGACAATCATTAATTGGAACCATGCATGCTAATCATTTTTATTTTTTTTACAGTGAATTATGTTATACACAATTATGCTCGCAAAGTTCTTTTAGCAATAGTGAACTTGAAGTATTATTTAAGAAATGGAATTTAATTTATAGATGCTCAAAATTAATCAACAATTTTGTGAAAAGAAATCCAAAACTCGGGGGAGAAGAAAAGTGAAAACTTGACCAACTTTGACCATACTAATAATAATAATAATAAAAAAGAAAAGCAGAAAAAGAGGAGAGAAGTCGAACATGTCAAAGAAAATCTGGAGACGGGCATCGAAACTGTGGTCGGAAATGAGCAACCAAAACTCATGCAACTCCGACTTGCTGATCATCCCCACCTTCTGCCGCCGCCGCCTCGCCAGAGCATCGAACAACCCGGCCGCGAACTCCTTCGAATCCGCCCCCATCCCTTCATATATAAAATTATCCAGTAAATAAATTCACCGTAAAAAATGAAAGCAAAAAGTTAACGTGGATATATATATATAATTTACGAGTATTACCTATGCATTCACCGAAGTCATGTTTGGAAAGTAAACCGTGTTTGGCCAAGGAATCAAACCGGAGCTCCACGTTTCGCCACATCTCATCCATGTCGTCGGAATCTTTGGTATTCTTACTGATGAATCTCAGCCCGTTAAGAGCTCGCTGGGCGCTGGATTTCGTCCTCAATAACTTGGCCTTCATTCTCATTTCCCCTCGTTTATCCACCGCCGCCGTCCCCGGGGAATCTTCCTCCAAATCCGACGACGAAGAAGCCCGGGAACCGAACGATCTTAACCGAGAGAATGTCCTCCTCACTTTCGACGAAGTCCTGGAAATAAATGAATTACTCTGATCACCGTTAAAATTGTTGTCTCTCAATCCACCACCGGCGGAAGCCGCCGGAGCAACGCTGTACAACACTATCGAGTTGTCGTCGCCGCCCACCTCCAGCGTGACTTCCACTAACTCCTCCTCACCGCCGGCGGGAACGGCCGGGGTATGGATATTATTTCGTCTCAAATCGTGGAGGAAAAACGGCAGCATTGCTCCCCGGAGGTGACGTCCGGCGCCGGCTTCAAGATCATCATCACTATTATCAGGATGATTATCAGGAAGGTCAAATGAATGGCTATAATTCAATGTCTTGGAATTACTATTATAATTACTACTACTACTACTATTACTATTACTAGCACTGCTCCCAAACGATGAAGTCCTTAGAATAGAAACCATGCTCACCTATAATAAGACTATCAATTAATCCAAAAATTAAATCCTCTTCCCCTTTTCTCTTTTCTTTATTTGATTTGATTTAATTATAATATGAAATTATGAATGGAACAAAGAAGATACAAAAATTTTAAAAATGGGGGTAAAATGGAAATAGCTTGGATCACACGCTTGGGTTTGGGTGCTGGGGTGGGTGATGGATGAAGAAATTGAAGAGAGATGATGATAGAATTACTCAGAAGAAATGAACCCGCCCCCCCCCAACAAAAAAAAACAAACTACACACCTCTCAACTGATCACTCTCCACACCATTTCAACGCTTTTTATAACTCTCTCTCTCTCTCTCTCTCTCTCTCACGCGCGCGCGCGCACACACACACACACACACAAAATAGACAAATTACTACAGAAGCAGAAGAAGTAGTTGGAAATGTAAAACATTAATTTTTGTAATTCTACTACTACTGTTGCTTTAGGCTTCTGGTCTTCTGCCTTTCCCTCTCCCAAAAGTCTCGTTTGAATTGAATTTCTGTGTGCTATATATCCAGTTTTCCCAGTTTATGTAAAACGGGATATCCAGATAGGGGGAAACCAATACTAGGACTCCTTTTTTTTCTTTTTTTTTAACATATATAAGATTGATGAAAAAACAAAGGAGATTAGGTGGACGTAATTTTGTTCTTTTTCACGTAAAAAAAACTCAATTAAGAATATTTTATTTTTAAAGTACAAATATATAGCAATGGTAGTATATGCCTTTAAAGCCTTTTCCTTGGCGCATTAGCTATAGGAGGATATATCGCAATCAAATCATTGTCACTTACTTCCTCTGTCCCAAAATTATTGTCCAATTTAAATTTTCTCTTTTAGTTCAATTTGTACTAAAAGTGAAAATATTTAGGGACAATCATTTAGGGACAAAAAGAATATATATGAGAAGAATTTTCGATAATTGCTTCAAGATTTCTTTTTATGTTGATAGTACTAATTAAGAACCGTGATAGAACTTTCCTCAAGGGCACCCTAATCACGTACTAATTGGATTAAGTTATATTAGCTAAATTCTTAAAATATCACTTTCTCTGCCCTGAAATGATTCTCTAATATGGACTGAGAGAGTAAAAAAATTTGACCGAATCTTGCAATGTTGGATTGAATGATCAAGTATTGTGTACAAATTATGTTGTGTGAGCGTCAAATATTATGAAGAGCAACTCACTATCAAATTTTAATTGCGTTGACAAATTTTGAGGTTATAAGAGATAGCTTAACTTTCCAGCTTTTTCATCACCAAACTCTCTCCTCCTCCTCCTTAAGCTTCTTACTGTTTCGTATCACAAAAACAAGACAAACTTATCTAAAAAAGCTCACTTCCCTGTGGTAGGGCTCGAACCGCCGCTGGAACTTCGCCACGTACAATAAGCTGTCATTTTTGCTGGTACGTAACAATTCTTCTTCTTCTTTTTCTTTCCCCTCCATTATTTGTTTATTTGTTTTTTGGGACCTAACGTACTACCATGCTTATTAGTGTACTACGCATGAATTGAAGGAATTTTTGTTTATGGCTCAACATAACACCCAATTTAAGACAGCAAATTGAAATTAAGTTTAGTCCATTTCGATACATCTGAGAAAAGGAATGCATTCAATTCTCACAAACTTCTTTTTTTTTTTTTTTTTCATATTACAGGGTATCCACCGTCGGTAATAATGACTAATCTCCCTCGCTCATAGTAGGCACATCGATGGGTGAGAGAGCTGACCAAAGGATTTAAATTCTCACAAACTTCTAAAATGCTGAATTCAGACTCTTCTCTTCTAATATATATATATATAAGTATTTGTACTGAATTATAAATTGAGAAAATGCTACTATTACTCTAATGTACTGGTTCCAACCATTATTATTAATATAGGTACTAATTTAGTTCAATAAAGTTATAAATTGAGAAAATGCTACTATTACTCTAATGTACTGGTTCCAACCATTATTATTAATATAGGTACTAATTTAGTTCAATAAAGAGGCTGTTAAATTGGAATTGAGAGAGTTTTTACTTTTTATATTATTAGTATTTATTTGAAATAGTGTAATTGTGTTGTTATGTGTGCGCAGTGGGGGAATGGCATCACTTCCTTAAAGCAAAACGTGAATGAATACCAGCTAACTCAATATACCAGCCAATTCTTGATCAAGAAGAGAAAGTGACCTTCTCCAACTCCGTAAGACTTGAAATAAATAACTAACTACGAATTCGAACTCTATGAATATTATAAGAATAATTCCTCCGCTGGGATATCTTTTTTTAAAGCAAAATTTGCAGGTTAAGCACATCCTAACGAGGCTGACAGAGATTTCCAATTAAACTAATTACTATCATTCTGGAAAATTGGATAAATTCAAACCACAATCTCCATCGCTGCTTTTGTATTGGTTCATCTATCCCTTTGTCTTGGTAGTTAACTATAAACAATATTCTTAATTAATTTTGACCAGTTACTTTGCTGTAACAAATCGCGAGTTCGAGTTTCAACCACAACATATAAAAATCATGTCCTTTCTCCCCTCAAATAAATCAGTGAAAAGAAAGTAGGATCAGCTTTAATTATCCTTCAAATAGCCTTTAACCTTCAACCCCCAAAAAAAACACTGTTCAGTTTCAATACCTCACTTAAAATTTTTAGTAAATTTCTACATTTTCGTAACGAAACTATGCTTTTCCATATTTGGGAACCGCATGGGTCGACGTTAATTGTCAATCTGAAGGGCAGGATGTTGCAGATAGAGAGAGAGCTGGTTTTTGTATCAATTTCAGAAAAAATAGTTGGTGGTGATATAATATGACTCCAAAGCAAGTTCATGATTCGCTAGGTATAATCGATATGTATACATTCTCGAAACATAATACTCCCTCCGTCCCATAATTATTGTCCAGTTTGAGTTTTCATTTTTAGTTCAAATTGTACTAAAAGATGAAATCTCAAACTAAACAATAATTTTAGGACAGAGGGAGTACATTCTAGCTTTAGAAGTTAATTATGGTAGAAGTACAATATTGTGTACTTCCTGAATTGCTCATACATACTTGAAAAAGACCTATGTTATATATAGCTGAATTAAGGAGTCAAATCCATCGTACGAATGAATAGTTCTGTTGAAACTTCTGTCTGAAATTGGTTTGTTAAACAGTATGCATGATTGTTTAGTCTTTTTCATTCAAGGCTAATTTGTTTTGCTTTAAGGGCTCATGTTTAACATGATAGATAACCATTAACGCCTGAATCTTTATATGTAATTTCTAATAATTAATACTCTTCCAATGATTATGTTGTTTAGATTTTTATTTCTAGTATACATTATAATAAAAATTAACATCCAAATTGAACAATTATTTTCGGGAGAGAGGAAATATTAACATTAAAAAGCCCGCCAACTTGATCAAAGGCGGTGGTTATTCCAGTCATTGATGCTACTTATTATCAGTTCTCCACCACCACAAATACTTGTTTTCGTTGATGTTTCGCCACCTCTATTACTTTTTGGACAAAATACTAAATGTTTAGAAATAAATACCTAAATAATGTTTAAAAGAACGCAAAGCTTAATTAACGGTTTGATGGTTAATGAAATTTCACGAGGATGTAACTTTCGGTCAGTAGGATTAAATGAGCTTCTTTTAGAAAATTTTAGGAGTAAATGTGATGAATTCCAAATTTTTTGAACCAAATTAGCTTTGTTCGACAGGTCTAAACAACAACATTTTTAATAGGATATAAAAAGCCTCATCTTAATTACCTTAATCGTATATTCCCTCTGTCCCAAAATTATTGTCCAGTTTGAGATTTCACTTTTAGTACAATTTGAACTAAAAATGAAAATCCAAACTGGACAATAATTTTGGGACGGAGGGAGTACATGAAAAAACCGAAGAAGGAAGTTTGGTGGCAGTCAATTGGGCAATTCATGATGTACTATTAGTATATAATTATTCTCTATTCATTGAGTAATTAATTGATTCCAAAGTCACCAATGCTTCATTTTCGTGCCCACATTTTGATGTAATTTGTGATGTGTTTTGGTTTGACCTTATTAACTTTGGTAATACCTGGTGGTAGGTAAACACTCTTCCGTCCAGTTGCCTAGAATTTTGCTGTGTCTTTCCTCCCTCTGTTTTACTATGAGCCTTACCGAATTCTCAATTAAACAATTAGTTTTAATTAATTTTTTTTACGTGGAAACTGATAGCAACTGATTAATACTTTCGTCAGACCACGGTCAAAACTAATTACTGAATAAGAAAGTAATTAATTGAAGTAGTAAACATTCCTAAGACTTGATCACTAATCCGATTCAAGTTAAGTGAGAATATTTTTAAGAGTCGTTACATATTTTATGGCTAGCCACTACTTATTCATAAAGCTTGCAGTAGTTAGTTTTAACGATCCACCTTTCGTCAGAGTTTTTTTTTATCCATAATAAAATGTATTAATTTAAACTTTTAAGATTTTGTCTCCTTTATTAATTGTAGTAATTTAAAACAATGCTCTCCTTTCCTCAAAAAGATAATTTTAGTAAACGGAGCGAATTACAAAGGTGACACTCATGTATAGAAATACAAAAGCAAAATTGTATTTTATCTAATCAATAATAAAAGTGTTTATTTTCTTTTCTTTTTTCGATATTCTATTTCACACAATAATTTTATTGTTTCTATCGGTTCTTTTCACCACTGACGTTACTCAGAGCAAGTCAACACGAAATAGAGAAACAAAACCCAGTTACCCAATTTTTTTCGACGCCTCGTGGAGGATTTTCTCCCATCTCACGCACATGTCTTAAACTAAGTCCTTGAATGTTTTATTTTTATTTTTCAAAGCCGTACGGTTTCTTCATTTTACCGGTCCCCTCAACCAGTCAAACTGTAAGAGGATAGAAGCAACTTGTTTTGTTTGCTTGCTATGTTTAATCTTATTTTGGTTCATTTTTTTAGTGTGTGTTTTAAGTGTTTTTTGTATTGAGAATGTAAAAAGTTGTGTTGGAAATGTAAAAAATTATGCTGGAATGGGATAGTTATTAATAAAATAAACTGAAAAAACCATTAAAAAAAAAAGCAAATAAACAAATCCTTAGTTTCCTTGAGCTTAGTGTCAGTCCGTTAAAGTTTTTTTTTTTTTTAAGGAAAAATAAAAAGAAAAATCGCGAGAGAGTTTAGGTCTGCCAAGCTATAGAATTTCGTCACTTACAAATCAAAGTTAAATAATCTGTTCCGACATTCTGTAGACGTATTTTCTGCTATAATTCGATGTCTTTATTTTTCTTCATACTAAATGAAGATGTCTAATTAATGATGTTAATTAGTTTCGAGAGACGAATTTTATCAGTGATTATTTGATTTCTTTGTTACAGTTGCATGTCTTAATTAAAAAAAAAAACAGTATTTGTATGATCTATCATGGGATGGTCACTTGTTTTATTGTAATACCCAATCTCCTTTTTCCATTTTCATCTATTGAATTGGATGTTTTAACATATACAGATCGAAATCACAATTTAACAATAAGCAGTTTTTAGATTAGGACATTTGTATGCTTCTAGATTGAAATTAGTGACACACATGGATCTATATTAAGAATGTGTTTCTAGAATATTGGTTTAATTTAGGCGTACGTGAGTTTGTAGAGGGTACTGCAAAATTGGCGTAATGATCCGAAATGAAGAAAAGAGTACAACTTTGTCGCAATCTATCCAATTGGGTGCGGTACAATAATTTAGTTTCGTGGTCTCTGTTCCAATTAACGTAGTACCGAAATGGCTTGGTTTCAAGCAGTCCTGAAGGAACAAGGATCTCTTAGTTGTGCAGCAAAATCCATACACATTCTAGATATTCTTGGTGAAATGTTCCCATCTTCCTAAACTAATGATAACAAAATCTCTCCAATGCTTCCGAATTTAAAAAATTGCATCTCATTTTGCTTCCTGCAGATAGCCACCAGCTCATGCATTGTACGTACAAAAACACTATTATGTATCTTTGTCCCCAAGTCTTGCAGGAATGTATCCTTTTTCCCCAAGCCTGAGTATCTACCGTTCTGAATAGTAATTAATTATTTCACTAATTTGTAAACATTTTGATGATTAAGATATAACTACCCAGATATGCTTACTTAAGTAGGAAGTAGTATAAGTTAGTTTATATATAATGAAGTTGTTCATTTTGGAGGCTGTAATAATTAATTAATGTTAAAATCAAAGAACAATAAAATGTAAAGCTCATGGGCTGCAATTCTAAAATTTTGATTTTATTTATGATATGTACATTTATTCACCTTATGAGAAACTGAGATGCACCTATATTATTAATTATTAAGTTGAGGAATTCAAACAAGAAATGTTCAACATGAGATCAGCTTAAACAAAAAAAGTGTGTCTGTGCGCGCGCGCTGAATTTGGGAGACGGCTGACGCTAGATTAGTAGTTAGTTACCAGTAATTAAATTAACGAGTAAATTTAACACTAGTAAAAATGAAGTTGTTGTGTGAACTGTGAAGAGAGGAGTGGAGGGTGACACTTAAAAGGCAGAAAGGGGTTAAAAACCATAGACACGTATATATATAAAGGACTGTGTCCATGAATGTCTACGTATACAATGATGGAGAACAGCTAGCTATTTATTCAACAGTTAGTATCCATCGGAAAATGATTTGTAATCTTAATTACTAATGATAGTGAGATTAGGAATTTAATCATCATCGACCTATCATACTTTATTAGACGTAAATTTTTTTTTTGACGTAATTACTCCCACCAACTACGTGCTTACCTAAGCCTACATGGGGGTTAACTGAAAAGTTAGCTGGATGTGGTTATTTTTGGAAGTATTCTCCTCTGGAGTTCTTAGGGTATCCGAATTCTAAGTTAATCTTGAAAATGGTGTTCTAACATAACATATGTTTGGAAATTTATTTTTTTTTTTTTGGTAAAAGTAAAAAATTTACGCTGTTACGCATACTATAACAACTTGCAAATCACAACGAAAAGTATGTTAAACAAGTCTAGATAACAAGTTCGAGGTGAAAATTATATTTTTCTGTTGCAGTGATATACTTGTGAAAATCGTTTTTAAATCTCTTAAAAATTTACTTAGATTGTTGCATTAATTGATATGAAAGACCCAAAATAAAAAACACAAAAGAAAAGAAGCAAAATGTCTGTATAGTAACTAGTGAGTATAAACATGGGGAAGCACAAGATTGGAGGCAAAAGATGGTGACACATACATTGTAAATTTGATGGAAGGAACGGTAAAAAAAAAAAGTACAGAGAGGAAAGACTCGTAATTAAAAATTTAATATAGACTTTAGACCATTGAGATGATTTGATGATGAATTGCGTGTGTGCATGGATGTACATTCAGGCGGCTTAGAAGGAGTTGGTAAAGAATTGGCTTTGGCAGATTGAGTCAATTTTTTTCCTGGGAAATTTATTTACTACTAGTAGGAGGGTCTCATGAGTTATACTTACATGAGCTTTGGGATCCATTCAAATATCATCTATAAATAAACTGTACTCAACTGCATTTTTCATATATTCTGGTTCATTGAACACCAACAAAGAGCCTTCAATCTTGGTTAAAAAATTTCCACCAATTTGTGCTTAAGCCAGGAAGCATTTGAATTTTCAGCCAGAAGAAAAGGGTTCAAAAAAAAAAAGCAAAAACAAAACTGTGAAAGAAAAAGGCTTAAAGGATGTTTTGAACAGTAAAAATGGAGATGCGGGGGATCGAACCCCGTGCCTCTCGCATGCAAAGCGAGCGCTCTACCATTTGAGCTACATCCCCTTTGGATTGAAGCAGCCAAACAAATTATATTAATTCACTGTTTTCATATTGAAAGCATAGTAGGACGCTATATTGGATGGGCTTTGCCTTAACAACATGTTATGGTCTTAATAAGAAAACTGGGCTGCAAATAAGGGTGGCTCACTGGCTCTATTCACATACCCTCATGCTTGCCCAAATTATGGTCATGAATACGACTTGTGAGAGATTCAACGGAGGAATTAAAGTAATGTTTGCATTTATATCACATCACATCTCACCCCAACATATACTTTCAAAGAAGCATATACGCCATCCGTCTCATAATTATTGACCAGTCTGAGCTTTCACTTTTAGCAAACAAGACAATAATTATGGGATGGAGGGAGTACAAAATTACAAATTGTTAGATGAAAAAAATGAAATATAAAAAAAAAAATCCCCCATCCCATTTTTAATAATTTAGTTTATTAAATCAAAACTGTGCAATAAAACACTAAACTTAGTTTTGGAAGCAAATGAAGCAACAGTCCGCGGAAAGAAATCTTCTGCATTGGACGAAGTGGATTTACAGACGAGGGATCGATACTAGCCACCACCATTCTGTCTGAACGTATGGATTGATGACTCTTGTAGTCCAAGTCATCTACAATTACGCTACGCGTACATTTCATCTATTGCCACATGGAACCAGATCAATGTGCATTTTCCTTACGAACAAGATCGTTTCATCAACGCATTTAGCGGATTTTTTTTTTATATATATTTCTTCTTTTTTTTTTTAACTAAAACCATTTTTTGTAGTGAGTACAGTATATATTTACCTTCGAATAATTGGTATGGATGTTTCTTCATTTCGTCGATACATAAAGATGTGAAATGCAAAAGTTGTCACACTTGCATGGCCACAATATTGCAGGTTGGAAATATCTCCCCAATAACATTATACTGAAAGTTAAGCAAGAATTCTTCTAGACGGACTAAGTAGATGCTCCCCAAACGTAATTCCATCACAAACTATACCCAAAAAAACTGTTCAAATTGGTTGTTGTCATAGCGTATTTTAGATTTTCAGTGATTATTAAAGTCGGTTTCATCTTTGCTTACCTTTTTTTTTTTTTTTACTTCCAATTCCATATGTTATTTTTCATTCATCAATACTAGTAGGTATCTATTATTAAGGTAGCACTTTGTTCTGTTAAAAGAAAAAAAATACTCTCTTTTTCCCAAAATTATTGTCCAATTTGAAATTTTACTTTTAGTACAATTTGAACTAGAAATGAAAATTCAAATTGGACAATAATTATGAGACGGAGGGAGTATGAATCATAAATTTTGATTAAGGAATCAGATATTTTCCGTTTTGCAACTTTATATGGAAATGATTTAAAAAGTGGTAATTAAAGAAGACGAAGAACTAGAAGCGTAAGAAAGGGCCATCCATTTTTGCCAACCCGATCACTCCTCCTCCTCCGGAGGTCCTCTTTATTAATGAACATAATATTATTTTCATTATTATTATTTTTATTGTAATAAATATTTTTTACTAATAATGGCTTCTTTTTCCTCTTCTCTTTCATCATCATATGGTTCATAGCTGATACGGCCTTCTGTTCTGTCTCCTTCCATTTTTCCTTTCTTCCTTCATTGATTCATCACAGGCTTTTTCCAGGTACAGCATTTTTTTTAATGCCTTCTTCCGTTAATTTCATGCATTTTCGCCTTAGTTTTTCACGTGGATTATCAACAATTTTCGTTCATATTAGTTTTCTTAATGATTTATTGATCATCTCATGCATACCCACAAAATGATTACCCTGCTAGATCTTATGCTGTGAAATTTTTTATGATATTTTGAAAATCCAGTTGAATTTATTTTGGCTGTCATAAAATGGGAAAAAAAAACCACAAATTTGTACACATTCTGTCATTCACATGAAGTCCTCTTATTGAAGTGCAGATCTCCTGGTAAGCTTTAAGATTAAGAACTCGGTTTTTATCGAATTGAATATTGTTAAAATTTTGTATTCACGTATTAATGTACAAAGATAAAGAAAAGTAAATAGAAAGTTTTTTTTTTTTTTTGGGTATAAAAGGGAAAAAAGAAATGCTCTAATTAGGAGGCTCTGATTGATATTCTTGGGTGCTTTCTTGTTGTAAAGGGCCGTGAATTGATGATTCATAGAATGGCATATTCCACAGGTTCACTTTTTCGTATTGTTTAAAATGCAATTAACAAAAAAAGCCTGACAGTAAACCTCAAAATAATGCATTATTTTGGAATGAAATGCTAGAGACATTAATCTGTAGACATCTTTTTTATCTGTAACGCAGTGATTAAATAATAAATTTGGCGAGTTTATTGGCACAAATGCTCAATGATATCTATGGAATAATTTAGTGAGCATGTGCAGACATGAAGGCTTTGGCTTTAGCCCCGTCAATTTTTAGGTTCATGGGAATCTATAATGGTGTTCGATAGTACATTATCATCACATACAATAATAAATTAGTAAAAGTACTTTGGTTCCATTGTAATAATCTATTTAATTTTCAGGAAAGATTTCTCCTTTTTTCTTGTGATTAAAAATTCAATCCGCCGTACAAAAAGACAAGATCAGTTCTCACTTGATTACACAAATTCTCCCTTTTTCTGATGATCCCATGAGTTGTTCACATCACATGATCATACCATTATTAATAATGTGATCATTTTCTGTGGCATCTACAAAAAAACTTGCAGTGAGGAGCAAGCTAGATCTGATGAGAATATATTGATCTAAGTACTCTCCTTGCATCAAAGCTGCTCAGTTACACAAAATCTCATCATCATCAAGAAAAGAAAAAAGAGGGCATTTTATAAAGAAAAAATCAATGGCAATGGAAGACAATGGAGGAAGCAAGGTGAGTGGAATCAGACAAATAGTTAAACTCAAGGAGTTCATCAACAAATGGCAAAATGTCACACTTGGCTCGAAAGACATCAACGAACAACATGATCGGGATTTAGATAATGATCAGAGCAGTGTGCATTCCAATCAAGGCGGGCACGGAGGGATTTCACCGGCGATTAGCAGGAGGCTGATGAGGAGCTCCAACATGTACTGCGATTCGGATGAAGACAGTTGCCCCAGCCCTGAGCCGCCACACGGCGTCCCAAAAGGCTACCTGGCTGTTTATGTTGGCCCTGAGCTTAGGAGATTCATCATTCCAACTAGCTATTTGAGTGATCCTTTGTTTAAGGTTCTGCTGGAAAAAGTTGAGGAGGAGTTTGGTTTTGATCATTGTGGGGGCCTAACTATCCCTTGTGAGACTGAGACTTTTAAGTTCCTCCTTAAGTGCATGGAAAATCATCAGAGGGAGAAACACACCAATCAGGATACTTCTGGTACATACATACATACTTTCTCCTTTTTTTCTTCAACCTGATAGAATAATATTAGGCCAAGGTTGTCTAATTTTAGTTAAATTTGGTTGAATTTGCAGAAGGGACAGCGCCTCCTGTTGATGAAGAGTGACATTTCACATTGTTAGGAATCATGGGGTTCAATTTTTTTTTTCTTTGCTTTTAAGTTACATAGGGCTGATTTTCTGATGTAAAGCCGAAAGTGTCTTCTTCTCTATGCAAATACTATATGACATTTTGATCTTCGGTTTCATGTTCTCTTGTTCAAAGTGACAAATTAGATAGATAGAACTGAAAGAATCTTACGTTGTTATTCATCAATGTAATGTACTTTCTCTCTTTTTTTGTTTTCCTTGTTCTAACTGGAATTTTCCAAGATTTTGTGAAATGTGTTCAATTGGTTCTGCAGGGGTTATTCCAACAACACCAGCATATTGTTGCAACATTTACGATTAATTAATCTGTTTTGTTTAGTTGTTATGACCAGCCAATAACAGTCTTTTATTCTGAAACAGGGAAAACTGAAAACAGAATATAGAGGGATTATGATGTGCATTAGTTTTGATAGTACGCATCTTCTAACACTTGTAACAATACTGACAAAACGATAATGATTATGAGTATGACTGTAATAAACATGACAAAAGATCACGTAAAATTCAGACGGCATACCATCTATTTTAGTCCTAGAAGCGAGAAACTGTGAGTTGTTTCCAGATGCCTGAACATGTTACGTGGAAAGTGCTCTTTGCTTACTTACATGCCAAGAATGTTAGTCGATGACAACTTTCTCTTGCAACCTTCCTTAGTCCGCATACATTCAAGCTGTTAACAAGAAGCAAGGAGGAGAAAGGGAAAAAGGGAAAGACAAAACCGGACCTAAATTTAGGCAAGACAAGCAACAATATCTTTCGGTGCTGCATGTGCCCTCCGCATATATAATATATTGTGTGTCTTCATAGGTTTCGCTTTATGTTCAATGATTCTGTTTTGTCCATATACCTAGGAACACCTTTGCTTGATCTCTGTTCTTAGACATAGGTTTAGAAGGGCAATAATTAATTGGTGATAATTTTACTACTTGGCCAAAAATTAAAGGCAACAAAATCTTTGTAAATCTCTGAACATGCAAATGTTCTCTATGATCGGAGCATCTTTTGATCTTTCAGAAGAAGTGACGAATTTAATTAGTTTGGTTAGTTTAACTCAGGTACGGATCAGAAAAGCTAAAGATTGGTTTTCAATGCTAGCCATCAACATAACTAATAATCAGAAAATAGAACCCAACTAGACCAAAAATACTCCCCTCCACAGCCATGTCACAGAATGACTTCCTATTCGGTTACCAAGAGTCATTCAGTTTGAATTCAAACGACAGAACAGTAAAAAGATCACCAAAAAAGGCAAAAACACAAGAGCTATTGTTAACAATTGTTTATTCAGATCAGATTCAAAGCAACAAAATAGTATCATTGCAAACTAAGAAGAACAAGTAGGATCTGCAATTCTGCATCATAACATTCCCATCAAAATATATCAATTCTATCAACCAACTGCGGAGATTCACATTTAGGGAGTATATCAAGCTTTGTGAACTCCTAGTTTAACTACTCCTGGGCTAGTGTTAAGTTTGTGATAATAAGATCAAGCAATGCAATTCTTTCACCATACATTTCAGTGAATCACTAAGTGCTGGAGCGACGTGACAAACTACGTAATTAAGAGCAGCAAATGAAGGTTGATGATCAAAGAACAATTGCAAGACCATCCTTTTTGGGAGCTGCTACCACAGGTTTCTTCTTATTCCCAGGAAAGGAAGTGCGTGAAGTGTCAACCAAAGCCTTAAAGCTGTATGGTTCATGCATAGAGAGCTCTGACAGAACTTTCCTGTTCAATTGTATGTTCTCTTTCACCAGTCCATGCATGAAATTGCCATAGTTGACCTAAAATACATAACAAAAGCGGAGTCAACCTTCAGAGGAGCCTGAAAGCCAAGCATTCCCCCGCTATGCACAAGTGAATCCAAAACAACATAGAACGAAATTCATTTAATTGATGAGATTCCGAAAAATGGTGAAATAAATAGATCAACACGAGATCAGCTAGATATATCATGCTGGAAACTAGGCCTAAATTCCACATCAGATCAGCACGATACATCATGTTGATCATACACAGGATCCCCAGATTCAAGAGAAATGAACAAGCAAACAGATGAAAGAAACAAATTGGAGGCAAAAAACAATGATAACATGCACCACTTAGAAACTGAAGAATCAAAGTTCATTAGAGGTGTGGTCTAAAATTCCTGGCATAATAGCTCTTCATGATAGAAAAATGGAAAAAAGAAAATGTTGTGAACCTACCCCATGCTGACGGGTACCCGCATTAATGCGCTCTATCCAAAGGGACCGCATATCACGCTTCTTATTGCGGCGATCTCTGTAAGAATATTGAAGGGCCTTCTCCACTCTTTCTCTAGCTATCCTTATGCAATTTTTCGCTCTTCCTCGGAACCCTTTTGCGAGCTTGAACACTTCCTTCTTATTCATTTCTTCTTCTGCCTATTTTTCCCTGCATTTGCAAGTGTATAACACAGTATAAATCTCGTATGACAAAAACCATAAAAGATACTCAAGTTTAAGAAACAACTTCAATGAATCATATCATTGAAACCCCATCTCAAAGCTCACATTCATCTTCAAAGACTTCAACTTTAGAAAGAAACAACTAGTTTATCACATTCATAATACTATATCCTCTTTTAACTGTCTACAACATGATACTAAACACATAATCAAGTATAACAAGTATTGAAATCTGAGAGTGCCGATTAAATAAGATAATGTCTAACTGACCGACACCTAACTAATTGGCATCCGATTGCAATTACAGGATCAACATTTAACTGATGGATTATTGTCGAGATAGTAATATGCATCCATACAGACCTCAGAGGCTCAGCGCTGTCGCACAGTCCATCCCCAACTCCTATCATCATCCAACTAACTAGTTCGGCAAAAGATCAAATAACCAAATACTGAAAAATGAAAGCAAAACGAGTGGGAAACTGAAATGAAATCCAAACCATAGTCTCAGGCTTGAGCAGTTAAATGTAGTAACACCATGTAAATTCCCGTAATTGCTGTTGTCCATTGACAATAAAAAAAAAAATATCCTATTATGAATTGCCTCATTATGAAATTGGCAGAAACCGTATATAAACAAGTCAAACTAAATTGAAAACAAATAACTAAGTGTGTCGTTGATTCGTATTAATAATACATATACATCCAAATAACTTATATTTAGGCATAAAGAAACTGCAGTACTAAATTATTAAGTGTCAAATAATCTGTTATTGCTCATAAAAGATACAGTGTCACTATTGTGAATCGGACCCCAAAAGTATCCATCATTTCAATGCTCCATAACAATATAAATTTGGCTTCTCTGGCCTTCGTAAAAACTCACAATACAGAGGAAGAAAAAAAAAACCGAAACTTATTAAAGGGACGACGCCATCAACGATCAAGTCATCAAACAACAAATTCCAAAGAAAGCTGAGAATAATGAATTAAAATGAAATTACCCGAATCTAAACTGAGACTAAACCTTCGAGCTTTAACCCCAAAACCAGAATGGCGGGCGAAGAAGTTAGGCTAATCGGCGAAGGGGACGAGTAAATGAAAAGAGAATGGAGATATAATAGCAACGGGTTACGGGTCGATTCATTCTCGGGTTACACCTATACCGGATAATTTTTTTCCTCTGCAATTTGCAGCCCAACTCTAAATTTGCAACGGCCGGTCACCCACTATATCAGGGCGAGAAACAATGGTTAGACATATTGGGCTTTTTAGGCTTTGAATCTAATAAAGACGGCCCAACTTAGTTTCATGAATAAATGGAATTTAGGTTATGATACTCACCACAGAATAGAGTGACGGATCCTTTAGCAGAATTAGTTTGATAAATATTATCATTTTCTCTAGTCCAAAAGTAGTCCTGTTTTACGTTATGGAAGTTCATTATTTTGTAGTTTTATTTTTTCACTTCAAAATAATCATTAGCCAGATCAAATATAGGCCCACCTGTGATTCCACCTCAAAACCAATTGGCAATGAGAGGAACAGCACATGGAGTATATATATTAAGTTCAAGAGTCTTCATCCATCCATGTGGGACAAAGGAATATGAGGTAATTTCTTTCTTTTCATTCATTTAACATGCCCTTCTCAAACCCAATGGGCTTGGACGGGAAATTTTTATATATATTTTTTTCTGATTTTTTTTTCAGTCTTGCGATCAGTTATTTTTTCGGATAAACCGTCACCTGTCCGGGCCAGTCAAAGTTCAAAGTCGAACCCCGGATTTCTTCCGTGGGTTGACCAAAATTTCAAGACCCAATCTGGGTCAATCCACCTTGCCCCACAAGTCCCACAGGTCCGCGGATTAAAACCCGCTTTGATACCATCTTGGAGGCCCAAATATAGGTTCACATGTGGTTCCACCTCAAGTCTAATTGGCAATAAAGAGAATAGCACATGGGGAATATATATTGAGTTCAAGAGCTTTCATCCATCTATGTGGACAAAGGAACATGAGCTAATTTCTTTCTTTTCATTCATTTAACATAAAACTTATATAATTGTCTTTGTCTCATAAAAATAATTATTAATAACATTATAAATTATAGTACTACAAAAAATACAATTCACAGTTTACATTGTGATTTTTTTTTTTTTTTTGAAACAATGATCTATTTTTATGGATGGAGAGGGGTGGCTAATAAAGACAGTGTATTCACCTATAACATTGGTCCACAAAAAAGAAAGAATAATCCAATGTCGGGTTAACCCGGACTTGAGTGATAACTCAGCTCGAAGAAAAATACCGGTCCAGCCGCCACCTACCCAAGCAGAGATATTGACGAAAGCAACTTGGCGTACTAAATTAGGAGTCCAAAAAGGGTTTTGCCCGCTCGCCACCATCTCACGAGGGAAGTAAACCTTAACTTTTTATTCTTTCCTCTCCAATTTGCTCCTTTGGATGATTTTTCAGACTTCTTTTTGGAAGGTTATAACGTAACATTTTCATTTTGTACTACTCACCTTTAATCAAAATCTGAGCACCAATAAAGAATTGTAATTTATATACAAACTTTGTAAATTAGAATAGACATTCAACATATATTCGTCTCTCTAATTATTTTATCCGTTACATCACGAGACGAATGTAAACAATTATTACAACTTAAAATTGCACGGTAGTAACTCCTGTCACACAGTTAGTGCGAGTAATTTAATTAACAAAACTAGCTGAGGTCCAATTGTGAATGGAAAGGCCATTTAGAAAATTAATAATAAATATAAGACCCGTATTAAGCTTGTCCTTTGCGACCTACAAAAGGATCAGCAGCAGTGACGGAACCGGGTTGGACTCTACAGCTTGACTTAAGGCCAAACTATAATTTAATTTGGGGTCACTTTCACAAATTTGAAGGATTGAATTTGCAATATAACACCGAGTCATATTCCTAAATCATTGTCTTCTCTCTCCCTTTCTACACACACGCACTGAAAACACCTGATCATATACTGATTAACTGATATACATAATTCATTTTGCTCTGTTCTGTGCATTTTTCCGTCCCTTTTGATGATGGCTCAGGTTTACTCTTCTCCGTCTCAGGTTTGTGTTTATGACATTTGTTGCTGATTTTAAAATCTACTCTTTTTTTATTATTATTATTATTTTGGCTGGTGGATATCTGGGAAGTTCATTCAACTTGTTTTATCATAATCAAGATCGCATTTTTTACATGTTTCTGCAGATGACTTTGCCGGTGAATCCCAGTATCAGTGACCCCTCTCTGCGAAGAACCGTGTTCAAGGTTCTTGATTCTCTTTGTTTGTTCGTTGTTTTAACTTTTAATTGAGTAATGTTCTCTCTAATGGTTTACTGCTTTTAGCTGCCATGGAAGTACTTATTACTGATTGCACTGTATATTTGAAATTTTTAGTTGGGTTGAATACGTTCGGAAAATAAAAGTGATTTTCTAGTATTGATTTTGATTGTGGTTGTTTTTCTGTTTGTGTCCCGTGGGAGTAATTTGCTTCTTTAAGGGAAAGTTAGTTCTGGATTGTTGACTGTTAATATTTTAGCTGTCCTAAATAGACGATTTGTCTTCATTTGTATCATTCATATAGGCTGAGTTTTTGGCCCTTTTCTATCTTTGTTTCAGGATATATTTTGTTATATTTACACTGGTGTCAATTGACAAGTTCTTAATGATTGGGACATGTTTGTGTAATCATTTTCTTGGAAATAGTATTAGTATATCTGGGAACATAGCTTTGGTGCATTCTCAATTAAGGTACTCATGATTGTGGCTTTGACTGTCATGGCACTTTTGGCCGCTAGAGAATCGCTTGCAACCTCTATTATTAGCATGATCTAAATTAATTGAACTTTAATGGTCATTCTAACAAGTGTTGGGATTTAGATCATTCATATTTTTCTCTTCATCACTATTAGCTAGTTGTAAGTGGTGTACTTCATTCTCCTGTCAATTTTTATCTTTCCCCCTTCTTTTGAGTAACTGTTCTTGGCTTTGCTATGTAGTTTGTAGCTGTAATGGATTTAACATATTAATTTTCTGGTAATGCTTCCGATTCTTGTCTATGTGGATTCTGGAGGTAGTTTTTAGGTCTAATCCACAATTTACAATAAGTCTGGGTAACTTTGGTTTATGCAGAAATTGTGTTTCCATTACTGGGTTGGAACTATGGATTTACTACTTTTTTTACCACCCTCTTCATTCAGCTTATTGACAGCATTTCCAGTTTGACCTACTATATGCTACTGTTTTGTTGCTCCTATTAAGTTAGAATATTCTTTTTTTATACATATATATAGATATCGAGTGTGGGTATCATGGTCATCGCACAACTAGACACAGCCTCTTTCCAATCAGTAAAAGAAAAATCTGGCATTTGAGTCTTGCATGTTTAAAACATGATTTACCTACCACTGTAACATAGGTAATCAATTCTAATGGAATTAATTCGATTCTCTTGCAGGCAAACAATCTTAGTTTTCATGATGGATCGAGGATATCTGTTGTGGACTTCAATTTTAAATCGAAGTTCAGAAGTCAGCGGGTTCTATGCATGTCAGTACAACAAGCAAGCAGGCCCAAGGTTGCAGTTTCACCATTGTCACTTGAAGATGCAAAAGAGCCACCAATGCACTTGTACAAACCAAAGGAACCATATACAGGAACCATTGTCTCAGTGGAGAGGCTTGTGGGCCCAAACGCTCCTGGGGAAACTTGTCACATAGTGATTGATCATGATGGCAAAATGCCTTATTGGGAAGGGCAAAGTTATGGTATCATTCCTCCAGTAAGTCAAATATCCTACACCTTTCATAACCTTCGAGATGTTGAATACCTTGGTTTTTTAGTTTAGAGCTGCTCTTTTCTTAATGAGGCTGCCAGCCCTCTTGTGGGTTTTAATGTGTAGTGTTGCATCCTCTGTTCTCGTCACATTTTTTTACTTTACACCTTAGGCAGTGGAACAAATGCCCCCGATGATAAAAGATCGACTGAACTTTAACAAAGGGGTTACCTCACTCTGCCTGTTGTGATTTTAGCAATGGCGATCTGCTGCTCCACTTTCTAATGGCTATTAGATAAATCTTGGTTTCTTTGCTAGCCAACGGTACACACCAAGTAGACAATAGCATCAAATACCGAAATTATCTTCTTTTCGCATTTTAAAATTTGATGTGTCCTTAAGTGGTAGACCTGCACTTAATGATTCTACACACCAAGTAGACACTAGCATCAATAACCGAAATTATCTTCTTTTCGCATTTTAAAATTTAATGATGTGTCCTTAAGGCAAACTCCCTTGGATAAGAATGTCCCAGTCGTGAACTTTTTCATTGCTTCTGATTCATGAACTTGTTGTCTGCCAATGAAGAAGCAAAAACTGTTCTACTAATTTGACTAGTCCTCCACATCTTAACTTGAAATGACCTCCTTCGAGAGTTGTCTCTATAAGTTCATGTTGTGGACATTTTTGTAATTCTCTTTTATTACTGTTTTTCAGGGTGAAAATCCAAAGAAGCCAGGTAGTCCTCATAATGTTCGTCTGTACTCTATTGCTTCTACCCGATATGGGGACTTTTTTGATGGCAAAACAGCTAGTTTTTGTGTTCGACGTGCTGTTTATTACGATCCTGAGACCGGAAAAGAGGATCCTACCAAAAAAGGTGTATGCAGCAATTTTCTTTGTGATTCTAAGCCTGGGGACAAAGTTAAGATCACAGGTAGGATAATTGTTTTGAGGTGCTTAGTTACTGGCCTGTTCTGGTTCATAAGAATGGTCTTGCATCTTGATATTCCTATGCAAACTAACAATAATTTGTTTTTAGTTCTAGAAACATAGGTATAGAATGTGATATAGCCACACAAATCTGGTTTTAACAAGTGGATGACGCTTTCTATTTCTCCTGTTTCATAGGTCTTGATACTATTGGGCTTATTTGTTTGCAGGTCCTTCTGGCAAGATCATGCTTCTGCCGGAAGATAACCCAAATGCAACCCACATCATGATAGCAACTGGCACTGGTGTGGCTCCATACAGGGGCTACCTTCGGCGCATGTTCATGGAAAATGTCCCCTCTTTCAAGTTCGGTGGCCTTGCTTGGCTTTTCCTTGGGGTGGCTAATGCGGACAGTCTACTCTACCATGATGAATTCTCTAATTATCTCAAGGAATACCCAGATAATTTCAGGTACGATCTAGCGCTTAGCCGGGAGCAAAAGAACAAGAATGGAGGCAAAATGTATGTTCAGGACAAAATTGAAGAATACAGTGATGAAATCTTCAAACTTCTTGATAATGGAGCACATATTTATTTTTGTGGGCTTAAGGGCATGATGCCCGGGATCCAAGACACATTGAAGAGAGTTGCTGAAGAACGAGGGGAGAGTTGGGATGAAAAGCTCTCACAACTCAAGAAGAACAAACAATGGCATGTTGAAGTCTATTAATTGATAACAGCATCTCTTCTCTCGTTAGGCCAAGTTATTAAAAGAGAAAATCTTCCTCTTTCTTCGGTGATTTTGCATTTTGTTTCCATTCACTAGTTATTCTGCTGTATTCAGTTATCATTCTTCATCAGAGCAATGGTTACTTGCAGTGAAGCTTACTCCATTGATGTGTACTTCCAAGCTCCAACGGGGGCCATTCATTCCAAGTCTCCTGCGGTAACATCTGATGTTCCTTTGGTGTAACATACATCATCATCTTAGGATCCTCTTAATACTTTGGGGATTGATCATGAACTGATTAATTTGTTACCATTTTGAATGTGCCTATTTGTAAAATCTCATATAAACCCCAGCAAATATTTATAGTTTTCCGCGGCAACAAGCCAACATCTATTATACTTTGAGACGCTGCGAATCATATTTGTATATATTACAGCGACGCTAGTGTTACGGCAAAAACTAAACCAAATCATGCATTACAGCGACGCTAGTGTTTATTGATCAAATGAATCCTTTCTTTAGTTATCTTTTCGATAATAGAAAGCAAAAAAAATTAATTAATATCATATCCTTGACATTTTACATTTGATTGAAAACTAAATTCTGGTTCTGGTCCCCTCACACAGAGATCATGTCATTTGGTCCCCTTATATTCAATCTTTTGATCATTTTTTTTGGTTTTTTACTGAATCACCCCGATGGGCCGACTATTGTGGGAAAACTCTCCAAATCCTCTCCCCCTGGGAATCGAACCCGCGGGTGCATGCCACCATCAGCTAGCCAGGTGAAATCAAATTTTTGGCCCAAACAAGCTAATCAAGGTGCTGATCCCGTGACGATTGACACGTCATTAGGGCTGGTTTTGGAACTCCAGATACAAGTTTATTATGGAAAAAAAAACTAATTATTTTAGTTTATTAGAAAATAACTGAAATAATAATTAATTACAGTATCTTACTTTTTAGTTATGCCCACACAGCTGGTAGAAAGAAAGAGCAAAAGCCTAACACTAGAATACATAACGTGAAATGTGCATGAAAATGAAATACAATCAAGTCGTGACTTAAGTACGGCTTTTTGATATGTAGACGGGGTCATTTTTTTTATATATTGCAAGGTGTTTACCGTCGATAATAATAATTAATCCCACTCGATCATGATAGGCACCTTGATGGGTGGGAGAGCAGGCCAAATAATTAAAAATTGCTTAAGCGAAATCAAAACTGTGTGTAATGGGGTCATTTTGATATACAAACACAGCGAAAATCAAAACTTTGTGTGTGCAAGTTTTTTTTGCAGAATATATATAAATCCCGATAGATGCGGTAAGTGCACATGTAGTTTGTCATCAAATTGTCCATTAATTTTGTCAATTGAATATCCTTGTCAGGCCATAACTCTTTCTTGTCTTTGTTTCTAGCTTCCTCTTTCTTTTTTCACATCTGAAAACCACATTTACACGTCTGTTCTGAGTTAGTAGTAGTACTATTTTATCCATCTGGATAAATCAGTCAAGTTAAACAAATTTGTTGAAATTACTCATATTAAAAAAAGTATCCTCAAATAATTTTTCTTTTTTTTTTTTTTAAAGGACTTGTTACATCCTCAAATAATATTGTTGACATTCAGATTAAGCGTGAGTTTGTCCTTATTCACTAGGACAATCTGTGATTCACATTTTCTTACTTGTTTTAAAGAAATATGAGTGTAATTTTCCTAAGATTTTTTTTGTTTGTTTGCTTTTTATTTATTTAATTATTTGTGTGTGTTATTTCACTACTTCAATACGCTTGTAAATAAACCCTAAACTTAAGATGCCATCTGAATATGCATGTATGCTTTGACTATATAGGTAGCCAGCTAGCTAGCTAGCTAGGTCCTCATCTAACAATAGAGATAGAGTCCAGAGGGATCGATCCCTACTACATTCAAATTTTCTGATCAAATTCAGAGAGCTAGCTAGCAAGTTCGTTTTGAAGGCTATAATTAATAACTTATAATTACCCTCATTTTGTCCATCTCTGCCCTACTAACTAGCTATATAGTACATAACATGTGGCTATGTAAAATTGGGCTGAATTTATTCATCAAGTTAGAAGAATCCCACAGGAAAAAAAATTTAAAAAATCTCTTTAATGGTGGGAGTAAGAAGAACCCACAGAAAAAACACAGAGATGAGGGTGTTGGTTAGAAGAAAACTCAGAACGTGGGATTTCAGGGGGCTGTGAAAATTCACATGTCTTGTCTCCTACATATATCCTCCTGCTACCTTACAATTTAGTTAAATTTGCTTCTGTTTTTTTTTTTTTTTTTCCATTTGGAGGATTCCCCTTTGGATATGCCTGCAATCTGTTCCAATTCCGTACTTCCTTTTGAATGGATAAATAATACGTATTCGGTTCTTTTATACGTGACTAATACGAAGGAATTGTTAGTCATCAGATGTTTTATAAGGAACAAATTAATAGTTTCTTTGTCACTGTACCAATATGTAATAATAAGAACGATTATATACATGTCCAGTTAGAATATGAATTATTAGTTTAAATATGTTATCTGCTCCATCGTTTCTTGATGGTTTTGGTAGGAAAAAAGGGCGCGCGCGCACTTTGTTGATTCATAACTATTCCTAAAGTTTGCTTCATTATTAAAGTAAACTAATACGGCTTGCAACATGCATGTTGACTGCCAATACTTTTTCCTGTTCTAATTAAAAAAGATGATTGGAGTGTAATTTTTTTCCTTTTGCTTGTTTTGGGCGTGCATGTGCGACGCGAAACGAACAATACATGGATTTTGGAAAAAGGAAAAACAGCCATATATAGTCACATTTGGACAACGATATTTTTGACTCCTTTAAGTTGGAAAATCTGAGTCTTTCAAGCCAATGCATGCATAATCACCAATTCACCATCACCAACGTTGTCCTTTTTCTTTGTTTTAACGTTCGTGGCTAAAGCAATAAAGCATCCATCCCACGCCAAGTCGCCAACTCTTGTCGAACCATATTCATGTGTCATATAATGCACTTGCTTCATTTCTCTTGCGATGAATAAATTCGACCAAAAAAAAAAAAAACTAAAACTAATTTTACGTCAAATTTCTACAAGTCAATGGTAGTATTTTATTGTATGGAAAATAGAATCGACAGCGAATCGCCAAAGGAGTTTTACCTTTGATTTCGTCATGACATTATGAATGGAGGGGAAAAAGACTTGGTTCATCAAATAGGCCAATTTGCTGCTGACACTTATTGGGTCCACAGTCCACTGCTTTCCAATATTTTCTGTGGGCCGGACCTTGCTTTTGTTTTCCCATTGTTTCGTCTCTACCCACATTCAGTTTTTTTTTTTCTCGTTTTATGGTAATTTTAGTGCTAGTGTCAGGACTCAGGTGTGTGAGTTGGTCAAAATGACCTCCGAGTTTACCCGTTCGATTTTCAATATTTGACTCATGCACCTGACATTTGCATGAATGTAGAGAAATACTACGAAACAAAAAATGATGTAACCTACGTGAAAATGACATGTGTATTTAATTTGAAGATAAAAATTTACTTGAACTAATGATCGATGATACATACCGTAAGAATAACATCGACTAATAACATATGATATTAGAATGAAAATAGTATTGTTGTATGAAAAAGTTGAAAGATCTTGTCGATGAAAATAATTTGTAATGTCAGATATTGTCTCAGACGTTACAAAATACAAAAGTATATAAATATTAAACAATCGTATCACCTTTATGGGATTATTATTACTTTCTATTTGATTTGAAAACTCAAAAAATAGGAGACAAGATTTATAAGCTCATAATATCACACGAGGTATATGAGAGTGTTTGAAGTTAAAATGGGGGGCCTCTCTACATAATTTGATTGAATCTGATTTGGGGCGACCCACTTACCACGTGGGCTGGTCTTTTTGCCATTTGCTAGTGTGCGATTAATTTCCATGACTACGACACCACTTTCACAAATTTTCCATTACAGCTATTCCTATTCCATCATAAAACTGTAAGCTAATTCAAAGTATTCAACTACAACATGATGTCGTAGTAGTAGAATAAGAGTTTCACATTTATTTCATAATCTTCTTCATCATTTATTAAAGTTACAAAATGCTTTCTACTGACGAACTATCTTCATCTGCATTGTCAAGAGTTTGCCAATTGGCGGCTAACTTTGGTCAAGTAGTTGCCGGAATCCGGTTAAAATCCGGGATGTCAGTGTCAGTGGCTGGCCGTCAACGATGATGTTTAGGGAAACGTGCCAAAATAGAAAATATGTTTCAAGGAAGAATACATCCAAAAACGGACCCGGTTGTTTGCCTTTTTTTGTTTAAAAAAAAAATAAAATTGTGTCAGAACAACAACAACAAAAACAGTAGTGATAGTAAATGAAACAGGAGGCTACCAAACGAGAAAGAACAATAATGAGAGAGTAGGGGCAGGGGCAGGGGCAGGGCAGAATGATTGGGTACATTACATTACAAGCCTTGTTCAATAAAGCCGCTAAACGCGGTCGTCTGCTTCCTCAACTTCTTTTGTCTCTTTTCCCTTTAGCCTTTTGTTAGTAGTTTGTACCTCCCCAAAAGGAATAAAAACAATTGGACTTTACCAAATTAAAGCCTCTCTTTTTACAGCATAGTGCTAACTGCCTAAACAGTAACCTTTTTCACCATCATTGCTCTATCTATCCATAAAGATAAAGTCGTCTCTATGGTATTCGCTCACTTTATTACACTGTTGGTAATTTACAAATTTGGACAAGGACAATAAAAGGAAAAGGGGATGCAGAAATTTGTTCCAAAAGTTAAGGAAAACAACAGAATCTGAATGTATTTTATGGAACAACAACAGCTACTATTATATCATGGAGTTGCTTTTGGTCAGTTACAAACTCTGTAAACTATGCTTGGGAGAGAGCCGGCATGTACTTTAATTCTCAATCTCAATATATGTTAGATGAAACACACAGTTTGGTGAATCAATTGATTAGGTAATTTATCTCTCTCTTCTTTTATTTTTTTGATGTTCATTACATTTGGTTACCAATTTATTAAAAAGCAGAATCATCCCTGCAGTACACTTTCTGTTATGGAAACGGTTCATAATTAGTTTTCTTATTTGATATATATTCTTCATTTGATTTTTAATTATCATAACTACTTTTTAAAAAAAAACGTTATAAAAAAAATTTCGAAACTTTTATGAACCACACACCCCAAAAAAATAATAAAAAAAACACTTCGAAACAAGAAAGCTATGAAAAATGAATTAAAATAAGTACATGATGAGTTGTATTCTGCCCCTCAATATACATCTTCAACCACTAAATTTTGTGGATTAGGAGATAAACTCGCTAGATCACCAATCTAGCTACCAGTAATAACCAGCGGATCATCATCAAACCATCTTTGTAGCTTTGTTGTGGTTAGGAATGTTGTGATCAAGCAAACCCAAACGCGTTCCAGATAATCCCCCGACTTTAATTATTAATTAATATTGTTGTTGCATTACAGTACATAATAATAGTACTATTACACCAACATAAAATCGTGTCTTCCACTTATAAAAAAAAAAATGAAAAAGGTAAGGATTAATATATGAATTAATTAGATTATTGTTATAATGGTTATCGTTGTTCAAGTCTTTCTTCAAAAGCGTAATCAAAAGTTGGTTTTAACAACGAACAAAAGCGGGGTCGCTGCTAGCTAGCCAATCAAAAACTCGGTTAAACAGGATAATTAGAGCTTTTTTTTTTTAATTTAAATGAATAAAGAAACATCACTCCTACCAGCCAATCATAAGTATTGTCCCAAATTATACAAATATCTTAACCCTACACCAAAAAGAATGTTTTGAATTTTAAATCAATGAAATAAATTGGATCCTCCACACCATGAAGGTTTCAAGGTCCACCTCTTTCATCTCTTAAGAAGCTCACTATTCACTCAAAGCATTCCATTAATTTCAACATTATTAAAAAGTGTATCAATAATTTCGAGTAACTGGTCACACGGTTTGACTTCTATGAAAATCTCTTTAAAAGGCGGAGAGATTAGTAATTATATCCTCTGTCTCTCTCTTTTCTCTTTTTCGTTTTAATCTTTGAGTTCGCTGTTGGTTGTTTGTGTTATGACAATGTTAATTTTGTTTATCACGAAATGAATTTAACTAGTATACATTGTTTTCTAGGTTCACATTTTTATGTCGTACGTGCTTATGTTCACTTTAATTAAGTTGTGTCGGGATTTTGCATTCATATAATAAACTCTTATAACTTTTGTGGTCAACTTGGTGCGGTTGTATGATATTTTCGTATAATATAATACTATTACTCCATCTAACAAAAGATTTAATTAACTGTGATTGATATCTACTATGGGGAGAGAGCTTCTAAGCTAAGTCAATCAACCAGTATTTTGATTTCATTAGTGCTTACTAAATAACCTTTGCCCTTATTTGAAGCTTTATGAGAGTCATGATGATTAATATCTGGGAGGGAGTTATTAACCTTTTGGGACATTTTGTTCCTTTGGAACTCAAAAAAGTCATATATTGCGTACCATATCCTCGCCATCTTTGGGTTCTTTACCAAGGTGAAAAGTATAGTATAGTATAGTGTACAAAATAACAAAAGTCAAAGTAATTTACACACAATTAAAAAAAAAAAAAAAAAAGAAGTCAAAATGGCTGGATGGAGTGGACGGTTGAAGATTTGTAGCACAAAATATTTACTTAAACAAATAAAATCTTCCACTATCAATTCACGAAGAAAATTGTCTAGTTGGAGTCCAATAATTTTTACCACACATTGGACCAGCTGGATTGAATATTGTGTTTCTTGCTAGTAAATTGCTTAATGAAGCAAGTGAAATGAAATACTAATGAACAATAATTTTATATTTCTTAAATATAAAATCTAATTTAATCTAGTAGTATATTCCTTTGCCTTTTTCCTACTCTATCAGTCTCATAATTATTGTCTTGTTTGAGTTTTCATTTTTAGTTCAAATTGTACTAAACGTGAAAATCTGAACTGGACAATAATTATGGGATGGAGGGAGTACATAATATGGTTAATTTTCTTAAGTACTACTCGCAACCTGTCAACATCTGCTAACTGTCAAAATCCACAAATACTTGCAATACATTGAATGCTACTGATCAAATAAACAACATCTAGTGTGGAAACTTACATTACCTTCCTTACAAAAAGTCAATGCAGCTAATTAAGTCAATAATCAATTAGCATTAACTAACGCAATTTGTGGGATTGACCAACTTCTATTTTATCACTACGGAAAGTAAGAAAAACTATTGTATTGTTTAGCTCTGAAAATGTACTAAAGCTTTACTCTGAAATGAAAACAAAAGAAACTATTGTTTTTTTTTGTTGTTGCTGTAATTAAATGCTGAAACCTGAAAATAAAAAAAGAGAAAAAAAAACACCAAAAAAGCTGAAACCTGATAAATATCACACAAATTGATGGATATAAAAGAATAAATGACATTTGACATTGACAAGATTGCCCATTGGGATGATCATGAGGGCAAAGGCTAATTCAGACTTAAGAAGCCTTAAAACGTAAAGAATGGGGGGTTAAATCCTCACCGTACATTGGGACGAAAACCCAAAGATTAATAATCAACGTCTCTTAATCTCTCTCTCTCTCTCTCTCTCAAATTAAACCATAAATCATCTTGTTCTACTTTCTCTACGCCGCGCTAAAATCACCACATTATTATTATTCAATTGCTGGCTAACCTTTTCGAAAAATGTACAAATTATATACCATACGGACGACCGCACCCAATCACCAACTCCTCAAGCCCAGATTACTCCGCAGCCTCAGTTACTTTTCTTTTACTTTCTGTTACTGACAGTTTGTTATCTTGCCGCCGCCTTAGCTTTTATTTTAACATGCATAAAATTCCACCAGCTCATCCAGAGATTCCGGCTGAGGATCGGCATTCTCGAGCATCCAGAGTAAATGCTCAAACAGAACAACCTCGCATCCCACCGTGATGCAGTCGTCGGAGTCGCCGGACGAGCGGTCCATTAGCTCCCTGAAAAGGGGATTCTGGATGACTTCAGAGGAGACTAGGTACCGGCGGCGAGACTTGCCGACATAAACGGGATGTAAGTCTCCGGTGACGGCGACGCCGTTGTCGTAAGTGTCGTCGTCGGAGCTGTTAGCGGCAGCCGCAATTGGGCTGCCGTTAGCCCTTCCGAGCTTGAAAGACTGCATCTTCTTAAGAACTGATTTGAGTTTGGTGAGTTTTCCTCCTTTGGCCATTTGAAATTTTCTTGATGGGATTTTGGCTAGGATGATGAAGCAGAATTAAAGGAGAGAAGAAAAATGGAAGAAATGTAGAAAATGTTTGGGGAGATTGAGAAAGTGGGAGGAAGGTACGTCCTATATATAATGAGGTGGGAGACTCTGAGAAAGACCGGGTGTAAAAAACTCTCGAAAATTATATAAACATTTTTTTAAAAATAAAAAAAAAGGAACTTTTGTGATAGTAGGATTGGTAATTATTTTTACCGAAAATAGAATTGATTTTGAAAAGGCGGCCGGATATGGAGTATTTTATTTGAGGATTTCGGCTACCAAAATTTGCTGCTTCACTTCCAAGTTCCAGCTGTTTGTTCATCAAATTGGGTAAAGATTGTGTTTTTCTTCTCCCCAAGTAAAATGACATAATCTTATTTTATTTTTTTTTGTAAAAAAAAAAGAAGTGTCTAGCTGTAATATTTAATGTGATACAACAGATTCATACCATAATATGCCGAGGTTGAGGATTTTTTTAAAAAAATTTTATTCCACCATTTCATGTACACGATGCATGGTAAAATATTCTCTCTGTTTCAAAATTATTGTCTATTTTGAGATTTCACTTTTAGTACAATTTAAACTAAAAATGAAAACTCAAATTGGACAATAATTATGGGACGGAGGGAGTATAATTTTCTTTTGGACAGAAATATTTGATGCAATTGGGGGATATTGAAACGGAGATCAAATTGCAAAAAGTGTCCAAAATTGTTGCCATCAGCCATGCTTTTTTCCTCTCTTGCAATGGGCGTGAGCGGTGATCCTTGAGATATTTTATAGGTTGTCTTTTTTTTTTTTTTCCCTTTCCCCATTTAGAATCTCATATCCGAATTTTTTGTTTTTCGGGAAAATTAAAAAAAAAAAATGTTCAATATCAATCTAATTAAATGTGATGCGACTGAATCTCCTAATTGCACACACCACACCATATCAATCAATGTAAACTTTCTTTCTACGGGGATGGTGGATAATGAAACTAAAGGCAGAAAAAAAAAAGATAACAGAAAACGAAAAAAAGCCGCTACTTTTTTTTTCCTACTGTTTTATTATAATTGTATAATTAATTTTAAACACAGGAGATATACTTATGTACTACGTACATCATGATACATACATAGCGGAAAAATAAAAAGATCTTTTGGGGCGTAAGGATGGACTTGAAAGTACTAGTTGACAACATGCTAATTGTCTGATACATGCATTTAGCAAAATAGTCCAAAACAATATATATGAAAATAATGCAGTATTAATTTTACGCATTGTCATCCCTGATCAATCTCTCTCTGTTTTTTCTTCTTTTATTTTTTCTTTTTCATATCCAGAGTCCAGACCCCCAGTTTCAACATCAACAATGAAAATGTCCCTTTCTTTTGTCTCGAAGCATCCATCCGAAATTAATGTCTCCATATTGCTCGTTAATTCACAGCCTAAAATTTTACTTATAACACTGATTTACTGATATATATATATACATAGACTCATCTTAACATAATCAAAACAATTTAAGTAATAAGACTATAGTTATCAAACGAGAGAATATATTCTATATAACATATTTTCATCTTAATTTATACTCCTTCCGTCCTATAATTATTGTTTACTTTAGGTTTTCATTTCTAGTTCAAATTGTTGTAAAAATAAAATTTCAAACTGGACAATAATTTTGGGACAGAGGGAATATTTTGTTGTAATCAACGGTTTGATCGTCGAAACTTGTATTTTCATCACAATTGTATTGAGTCATGCATCTTCATCTTTGTTCTTTCTAGACATAAATTCGACCCTTGACACACATGTTACGTGTACTAATGTGTACATATATGGTTCATATATAAATTTTGAAGGAAAAAGATAGGGGGAAAATCCATCACACTTTATTTTGCTGATTCAGCAAAAAGAAATTTAAGGATTGAGCAGAAAAACATAGGCACGTTGGAAGGACCCTTGTCCAAATTGAGTGGTCTATAGACCAATTCTGTCAATTTGGAGCTCTAACAAGAGGTCTCTAGTAGTACTTCAATAGTAGTAGTTGTGGAGCTTACCATTCCTTTTCCAATGCCGAAACATCATTTTCGGTTTGACGATGAATTTTTGCCAGGAGGGAAAAGTGGCATAAATGGAGATACGGTTTAAGATTGTTTGTGTTCTTTTGCTTGGCCCCTAAATACTTTTTATATTATTATTTTTTATTTGTATTTTTCTATATATTCATTATTAAGTGATATATCTTCTTTTTTTTTTTTGTAAACATATAAATTGAATTTAGATGATAACCCCTTTAGCTGTTTCAATATCATAACTTGTGCCGTGTCACTTTCATTTACATAAATTATCTTCCAATATGATTTTATGTATCAGACAATAATCTAAATCCTGTTTGCCTTTGAAAGGACTTGTCTGCAAAGGGACAATATTTCCTCCAATTGTGTTAATGAACAAGTATCCCTTTTCATTTAATTGATCCACACGAAACTTTCCTACATTAGGTTTGTGATTCTAGTGAAATCCCCTCTTTGAAGTTTGAAGTTTGAAGAGCCTTTAGTTCATTTTCATGTGTTCATCAATTTCAGGTACCTCTTGTCAATATCTGATTACTTGTATGTTCTTCTTACCTTCAATATTGGCTGGCTGGAATTCCCTCACAATGATATCATCATTTCACTAATCATGTTTGACACTTACCAAATCTCAAAATGGTGATTGGAATTTTAACTATTCTCTAGCTTCTTCTTTTGGGTATATCTATAGTACTCCCTCCGATTCCATTTATTGATACTGAAAATATTCTAATTACTATTTGATTTTGATGGTTATAGGTGAAAGAATTATTGTGTGTGTTATTCACATAATACATTGTGATATTTATAGTACAATAGTGTAACAACCCTAGTCGTCTACATAGAAAATCCTAATTAGAGTTTCGAATATTTCCATATTCTATCAATAGGGGAGAGATTATTACGTATCACACTTTGATTTTTATCAAGTTTGTAAGTACCATTCTCTTACTTCAGTATCTGGTAATTGCTTTTTGGTCATTTAAAAATTTGAAGTTGTTGAAACCGAAACACTTGTGTTTGAAAATGTCAGTACCGTCTAATTAATCTAATATTTTAAGCCGAACAGAAATCAAATAATTACGATCTCAATCTACTTCTCAAGTTTCATGAATTTGGTAGATATAAAGTATATTCAACTAACCTTCTTATTTAATTTATAATATAGTGTTATATATACTTCACTCCCAAAGAAAATTCCTAATTGGTTCGTTCATAAATAATCAACAAAGTCAACCTAAACAAATGGAATGTAATTAACGATTTGGATACTTCATTAATTTATTTCTCTTTGTTTGCTTGTCAATCACACCAACAATCAATTTGTGTGGAACTCGAATATGAATAAGTCATTAAGGAGGAAAATTAAATAATTAAGGACTTATAAGAACGACGCGGCTAAAAGGGGTCATCAACCAGTTAATTAGACAACTAATGACGACTACACTAAGCTAACGAAGATTCTTCTGTTCAATGTCTGAAAAAAATTAAGAATATTACAAGATAGTTTTGTGCGTCATTCTTCTTTACAACAATGACTAGAAGCAGAGAGTAGTTGCGACTTAATAAATTTAAATAATTAATATGAAACCACAAATTAAATTATGGTGTCCTTTATTGGCAGAGAGGTCAATTATTCATAACTTTTTGATCAAGTTGCCATTTTCCCAAAGGACAAAACTGTAGCAGAAACAGTAACATATAAATGAATAGGATTCGGTGGTTGTTAAAGGTGCTGTAGCCTTTAATTAGGTGACACATAACCAATGAATTAAGCATTAAAAACATTGGTTAGTATCCTTGTCCAAGAGTTTTGTTGATTAAACTAATTAAGGTTCGGAACAGTTCCATGAATTCGGAACTGTATCTTGTTTGTTTGCATTTGAAAGTCTGCAGTGTTTTTTGAGTCTGCAATCTGCACCTAAATTTCGGTGATTGGGACCCAATTTTGTATCTTCGTATGTTAACAAAGCATAAAACCAAAAGTGATTTACCCGGTTCACATCCATATGAATAATCAGGACAATAATTTTGGACGTAATTTATAAAAAAAACATGTGTTACTATAGAAGCAAAAATGAATGATTTCAAAAAGTTCTGTTTGTTTGATTTTTTAATGATTTTTTCAGTTTATTTTATTAATAACTATCCCATCTCAACATATCTTTTTACATTTTCAATACATTTTTTTATATTTTTAATACAAAAAATACTTAAAAACACACACTAAAAAAACAAACATAAGTAATTGATCAGCCGACGACATAATTTGGATCTGGTTATTTTGGTTCTTATTTGAGATGTCAAACAAGAAGATCAGCTACAATGTATCGTAACTTACTGATTTAATTTGTGTCTCACTAACAAAAAGTCATATTGGTGAACTAGATAATATTTTAGGACAACAAAGTTTTTTTTTACTGTAGAGATAAAATTTCATTATGATGAATAGACTGAAACATCGATAAAAAATATTTTTTGACAAGAATTCTACAAATTAATTACACTCTATTTAGTGACCCCAGAATTATAATAAAACGAACAAAAATGAATGGAGGAAAAACAATAATGTAAAGAGGTTTTTGTTCATATTCAGAAATCAGAAAAAATAAAACGCAGCGACAAGAATAGAGTCATGCATGCACGTAATGTATGCAGTATATTATGTACCCAACAACCAAAGCTAAAAGGTCGATGGGAACTCAAAAGTTGTTGGTATCGAAACCAGACACGCGACCGACTGATCAATTTCGAAACAAACGTTAAACTTAAAATTATTATAGTGTTTCAATAATTAAATCAGTTTGGATTTTAATTAAAAAAATGTCATTAATATTTTAATAGGAATACTTTCTTCAGGAAGCAAGAATTCGTTCACGAAAGCGACAGACATGTGCGTCGTCGGAAGTTGCCGAATTGTTTCTGGATGCTTGCTTCTCAATCAATCAATTATCTAAAACTATTCTTCTTTATAGTTTAATCACTTTATTAGTTTATTCGGAATTAATTTAGTTTAATCACTTAGTTACTTTTGGTTCCAATTGAAACAATGGTTAGAAGTACTCTTTAAGTTCCAAATTAATTTTTTTCTTTATAATTTCACTTTTAAATTATATTAAAATCGAAAGATATTTATTTCGTAATCAACACCTATAACATTTCGGAAAGTTTGGATCAAAATAAAATTTGCAAAAAAAAATAATTTTTGATAATAATATAAAATAATTCTCATTGAATTTTGAGATTTTTAATATATTTTAATTTATATTTTAAAATTCAATTTTTTGAGGAAAGCTGCAGTATAGATTACATGATAATCTGGCAGTAATTCGCTATATATTACGAAAAAGAATCTCTCACTAGAAAAACGCTCTCGACTCATGACAGTAGGGCCAAAAGGCCATGACCCTGGGGGTGGCTTTCCACCACCTCCACTGCCGGAAACTGATCCAGCCTCAAAAAACCAACACCAGAACCCCTAGACCGCAGATCAACCAAGAAACCAAAGTTCAGAGACCTTTCTCCCATAACCAAAAAACCAGTAACTGAGACTATAAACATCACCCAGAGCATATCCCAGGAGGAAAAGATACCGAAACAGCCAAGTACTATGCCAAGTCACCCGATGAACTTCAAAAAGAAATTGTTTGGGGGGAGGAGGCCATGCATCCAGGATCTATTTGGGGAAGACGAGGACATACCAAACCTGGAAGAGGATGTGGTCATAATCCAAGAGGGACCAATCCCAAAAGTTCTAATTCACGACAAAGTAGAGGAGCATTTGGCAAAACGGTGGCGAAATGTTATTGTGGTCAAACTAATGGGCAATTCAATCATATTAGGCCAGCTACAATATCGTCTTGAGAAAATGTGGCCTAATACACAAGGGTTTGTAGTCGCCGACATAGAAAGGGACTACTTTTCCGTGACCTTTGTGTCCCTTGAAGATGTATCCATGGTACTGTCAAAAGGCCCATGGCTGATCGGAGATTGGTATATCTACACACAAAAATGGGATAGCACTTTTGACGCAAAGGTTCACAAAGTTCGATTCCTGATTGTATGGGCTAGGCTACCAGGAATGCCTCTACACTATTACAATAAATCCTTCCTGAGCAGAATTGGACATGTGCTAAGGAAGGTGATTCATATAGACCACCAAACGGAAGCAAAAACTCATGGGAAGTTTGCTAGGCTAGCAGTGGAATTAGACGTCACCAACCCCTTATGCCCTCAGTTTGACATGAAAGGAAAGATACAATTAGTTGAATACGAGAATCTACCTTGTCTCTGCATGACTTTTGGCAGGGTGGGACATTTCTCGCCGGATTGTGCCTTCGGAGCACCAATGTTGCCACCTTTTATGGGCTAAGGTAATGATGGCAAAGCATAGAGTAACCTTTGATGATGGGCTACATATGCCAGAAAGGTCCAATATGTCGGCCTGCAATAAGGGAGTCATGAGGAATTGGGCCGTAGTGTCAAAAGGAGTTCGTTGGGCTGTAGGTGATGGAAGCAAAATCAAATTTTGGTTGGATCAATGGGTAGTTTGGTTCCCTCCGCTACATTTACTGGCTACCTCACCCATACCTTTGGTCCAAAAGGAATGAAAAGTCAACAAATTTGTGAGAACTGCCCATCAATAGCAGCGGGAGCTGTTTGCTGACCTTCTTCCGACGATGGCGCTTATACAAATTGCGGCTATCCTTCCACCAAATCTGGTTCTCGGAGATGATGTTTTGCTCTGGGGCCACAATCCTAGAGGGGTTTTCTCGGTAAGAACGACGTATTCATATTTACTGAATAACCCCACTCAACCCAGGGAACCCATTTGGAGATAGGTTTGGGGTTGGAGTGGGCCGTACAAAATTAGGACTTTTTTGTCATTACTTGCAAAAAAGAGACTCATGACGAATGCTGAATGGAATAGGAGACACCTCATAGAAATAGCCAACTATCCGATTTGCAAAAATGAAGAAGAGGATGTGGTCTACGCAATCAGAGATTGTCCACACGCTAGAGAGGTATGGTCCAAACTGGTGCCCAACAATTTGCAATTCAATTTCTTCAATTGTAGTCTGTTAGACTGGATGATGAGAAACCTCCAAAATGTTGGGGGAATACCGGGGAGCTGGCCAGTGGTGTTTGGAGTGGTGGCTTGGAAAATTTGGTGTTGGAGGGATGAGACTGTTTTCAAAGGGGTAAATCATAGGATTGACAGAAGGATGGGTGAAATAGCCCACAAAGTAAGAGGGATCGAGGAGGCTGTACAACACAAAAGAATCATGGGTTCATCTAAGGTTGTCAAAATGACCAGGATGCTGTCGTGGAAGCCACCCCCAATGGATTGGCTCAAACTAAACTCTGATGGAGAAATAAATGGGGACACAGGAATGGCGTCAGCAGGAGGAGTCATAAGGGATTCAAATGGAATCTGGAAGGGTGGTTTTTTGATGAATATCGGATTCTACTCGGTGATAGGAGCTGAACTCTGGGGGCTGTTCCAGGGCTTAAACCTTACGTGGGAATCGGGGTACAAGAAAATAGAGGCAGAAGTGGACAACCAGAGCATCGTAGTTATGATCTTCAAGGAGAATAGACCGACGTGCGCACATGAGGGTCTGGTTAAGGCTATAAAGGAGCTTCTTTCTAGAAATTGGAATGTTAAACTCTACTATAATCATAGGGAATGTAATTTTGTAGTGGATTATCTTGCGTTTTTGGCGGCGACGAATCCTGGAGGATTCACTCGTTTGGATTTGCCGCCACCAGGAGTTCGCTGGTAACTTTTGAAGCCTTAATATATTGAGAGAGAATCTGGCAGTAATGAAATCAAATAATAATTATTTCTCGAGACCTAATTGGAGAATATGGGATTAATTAAATCTGTGATTATAGTTTGATGATTCATTCTCCGAACTAAGTCTTGGAACTCCTACAAAGTTTACTTCTCAAATGATTCTCCTGTAGTACTGTCGTATATGCAATTTTTATTCTAAATTTTTTGACTTATTGTTAGTGCCGACAACGTTGAAGTTTGAACTAACAAGTGCTTGAATTATTCCTTTAATCTGTATATAAATAAATTAAGATACATTGCTCGTAACTTTAAGTTGTGATATTTCTTCCTCTGTCCTACAATAAACAATTTATATTTGTTGAAATAAAATATACATGACAAAATAAGAATTTCTTATTTTAAAACGGAAAAACTACTTTAATTTTGATGAAATCAGGCACTATCGGTCTGATCATACGAGAACGTTTTTTTTACTAAATAAGAAATTTTTAACATGGGAAATCAATGAGAATTAGAGCAGCCTTCAATAATCTTATGCAAAGAGTGAAAGAGATTAGCATAGTTCATCAGAATAACCCTGTTAAGAGGGAGTAATTAAGAAAAATGTTGAACGAAACAAAACTTATTCCTAGAAGTCAAAAAATATTTGAAGATCCTATAACGTACTTAGTTGTCTAAATAGGATTGGAAAACCACAGTTTGGAACTATGCGCATTTGGTTTATTCAATCTGATCATGTCGACACACTTCGAAACAAAATACTCCTCCTAGCTACTACTTGAGAAGAACTTATTGTTAATCTTCCCATCCATGCCTGTGGTCCTATATAGTATTGATGATGATATATATCACGGCAAAACGTTAGAAACCCTTCATCAATTTCCTGCCACAACAACAAAAGACACACTCAAATAAATTTGTTGTTGCTGTTTAATGATTAGAATGCGTGGACGAATTTTTTTTTTCTTCAAAATTTAGTTATTCAATTTTAGAAAAAAAAAAATCCTTATTTAATGACAATATGGCATGCATGAACTCATTATTTACGAAAATGAATTCTTTTTTTCCTCCCCCATAATATTTGAGCACGCATCACCATGTGATCTACACATGGACTGTGCATACTGCTCTCTAAAACGGGGTTGTTTGATCCTTTTTCATCAACAAAATTTTTGGTGTAGCCAAAAAAAAAAAGAAGGGGGAATTATGAATCCAAATTTGCCCATGCCATCCCCATGTGGTTTCTTCATTTTGACCCAACAAATATTCCTTCTGGTGTTTTCAACTTCTCTGCAGTATCAGGATAGCATTTATAATCATTCATGATCGCCTGCTACCTAGCTTGTAACCTAGACAAAACATCATGTAAAATATGGTTTTTTTTTAAAAAAAAAGTTTTGTACTAATGTAAATTATGGTGTTTCAATCATCTTAATTTGTTTATACGATTTGGTCATATGGAGCATCGGATTTGCTGAGTGGAAGAGAAAATCGAATCATCGGAATGAGCTCATAATGATGTATGCTAATCATTAGAACATGCATTTCTACAGATTTAACATTAATTGATGAGCATCTTGTTAAGTGACATTTTTTTTTAGTATCTGTAGTGTCATTAGAGATTACTGTTAGCTAGGGAGGTAATCTTGATTCGTATATTTCACTTGGTTCATCAGAATAGATCAATGACTGGAGGAAAAATGTTAGTGTTAGATTTAGATCATAGATTTAGGTTGCCTAAATCTAAAAAAGTTGGATTCTCTAATTTACTAAGCTAGAAAGCTATTGGGAATCGTTATATCCAGGCGAATTAATTAAGTTCCACAGTGCCATTTTGATTGAATAGTCTATTAATAAACGATCCAAAACCTATATAATGATTTTCAAGCGGATAAAAATTGGGATTTAATGATTTGGGACAATTCAAGCATCTCAAGATAATAATCACATTTTTAAGATATTGTTACATGCAATACAATTATTTGCATTGTCTTAGTACGCATGATCAAGGGAAAGCAAATTGAAAATATTTACAATCAGTAATCAAGAACCGATCGATTGCAAGTGTTTGTATTGATAGAAGCAGAAGAAAAATGTATTGACTATTGAGTGAGAGTGTTCAAGATTCCTTCAATATAAAAGACTACAAAAACTATTCATCAACAGAAGCCTAATCAATTCTAAGAGACCAATTTAGTGTAGTTTAAGCAAAAGATACATAATGACAATTCTTTCATTATCATTTATTTTTTGTCTGGTTTAACCGAGGAGCATGTGGATATGTCTCATAGTTTTGGAGCCTAATGATGAAGATGTGATTCTGTGACAAGAAGCACGAATCCTATCACCGCGAAGATTTGCACTTAAAATTGAACCCTATCTGGGATTTTTTTTAAAAAAAAAAAATTCCAATTTTTGGGTGCAGGTTATATCTCATTGTCTTTCAATATGTAGGCACACTCAGTGTTAAGATTTGACGGGCACAAAAGTTGCTTGGATTAATCAAAACTTAAATTTTCTCCATTGTTATGTATGTGATCCATTTGTTTTAGTTGAAGTATATATTGAAGAGTAATGATAGGTACAAGAAAAAAATAATAAGAAATGATATGTCAAGGTCTTAACACTGTCCTAACCTTAAATATATTAACCCTGTTTAGAAAATTTTAACAATAGATGGGTGAAGTCATTTCCTTTTCCTTGTACCAATCATTATTTCTAGAGGAAAATTGCCTCCGTACAAGTGTTCAAACTCCATGTGAATTTTTTTAAGACAACGCAAAATTTCTTCCCTAAGCATGACAATAAGTACCTCTCAATTTGAAGGCCCAATGTTCTTATACCTTAACGGCCCAACCCGAAAAGAATAATCATGGCAACCCGCTGAAAAGAAACTAACAAAACGTCGCTGCTGAAAGGATCCTACTGGGACCCGCCAAACGATAGCGCAGTTCCGAGTTCCGACAGCAACCGTTTCCCCAGCCATTCAGGAAGCCTCGGAAACAAGACAATCCCACCGGGCTCCACCGCCGCCACGTCATCCCCCCACCGCATTTCTCCACCGCACACTCCCGCCAGGCATGACCATCGCTTCTCCTTTTCCAGTCCCACCCGGCGAATTTCGTGGGAAATAGGTTCCCACCACAATCTGAGGAGGCGAAAAAAGAAAAATGAGCCTCGGAATTTCGAATTCTTACCAACAATTGCTATTATCGCCTCACTCCAGAACGCACCGGAAACTATTGCCGCTTCATCATCGTCGAGGATGGAAACGCCGGAAGATCAAACTATCGAGATCGACTCAGCCTGTAAACCTCACAATTCGAAGCAGCTTCGATTCCTCTGCTTTCGAGAATTTCTTCCAGAACTTAATTTCCCAATTCCCGTCCCCGAATTCACTCGATATCCTCGGTCCCGCCCTCGGACTTGCATCCGGTGCCGCACTTTATTTCTCCGAGCGAAATTCGAAATTAATTTCGAATTGGAAGACGGATAGGAGCAAGTCTGTTGGGGAATGGATTCTGTTCAGTAGTCCGACACCGTTTAATAGGTTTGTGATACTACGATGTCCGTCCATCACTTTTGAAGATAACGATTTCTTGGAAGACGTGAATGAGAGGCTTGTGAAGGAGGATAGGCATTTTGTGAATCTGAACAGAGGGAAAATTCAGTTGAGGCAGGGTGAATTGGAGGAGGAGGCGGAAAAGCTGGTGTACCAGAGGAGATGTGTCGTGACGGAGGATGGCGGCGTAATTTCGTTTGATTGGCCGGCGAATTTGGATTTGGAAGAGGAAAGAGGGCTCGATACGACCATGTTGATCGTGCCGGGGACAGCCGAAGGGAGTATGGATAAGGAGATTAAAGGTTTTGTATGCGAGTGTTTGAGGCGAGGTTATTTTCCTGTTGTTATGAACCCAAGGGGATGTGCTGGCTCGCCTCTGACAACTCCTAGGTAAGTTCTTTGGCATGCTTTTTCCTTTTTCAGCCATTATTACTCCTCATTATGAGTGAACTGTATAGTTTGGACGTTTTGCAAATAGTATGTTTGCTCATTTATTTTTGTGAGAATTTTGAGCTGATTATCTGTTGGAGTCTATGTGTTTGATTAACTATAGCATGCAATAGATACTTTTGGGTATGGAAGGTGCTGAAATGTTCGATATAGTTTGGTTCATGAAGGAAAAAGATGATGTGCTTCATTAGTTCATATCAGATGATTTGATGAATAAGCTGAAGCTCAACTGATCAGGCTTCTATTTTGTTATTTCATTGATACGTCAGAAACTTCTAATTTTTCCTTTTTCTCCCTGAAGTGATGAGGGAATTCAGTTTTTTCTTGTTTTTGTTCATTATGGTGCAAATGCAATTTGCTTCTTCCCCTCAATCTGTTATAAATCTCTTGCGTGAGATGCTGATTGTAGTACACTTTAATTACTTTATTCATGTAGGTTATTTACAGCTGCTGACAGCGATGATGTCTCCACAGCTATGCAATTCATTAACAAGGCAAGGCCCTGGACAACGATGATGAGTATTGGCTGGGGCTATGGTGCAAATATGTTGACCAAGTACCTTGCTGAAGTAGGAGAAAGAACTCCTCTAACGGCTGCCACATGCATAGATAACCCCTTTGACTTGGATGAAATGACAAGATCTACTCCACATTGCATCTTATTGGACCAGAAGCTCAAAACTGGCTTGATTGATATATTACGTTCGAACAAAGTAATTATCACTCCATAGATTTCCACATTATATTTCTTCTTTTTTGACCTAGAAATCGAATCTGCTCGAAGTTCAAAAAGCATATTTGAAAATTGGGAATGTGTTCGCATGTTAAAAGGTTATATAAAGCTGTTATATGCAGTATTGTGGTGGAGCTCAATCTTTTTTTAATCTAACAGGAATTGTTTCAAGGCCGTGCAAAAAATTTCAACGTAGACAAAGCTCTTTTGGCAACCTCCGTTCGTGATTTTGAGAAAGAAATATCCATGGTATCTTATGGATTTGATGAAATTGAGGATTTCTATGCAAAAGCTTGTACTCGTGACATGATTGGGAAAGTGAAGATTCCCCTTCTCTTCATCCAGGTCTTTTCTTGTTGCTTTACTTCTTTATTAATCATCTTGGATTTTACTTTTGTATTAATTTTCTATAGTCTCCGAGATAGTCTTCTGCCAAAGTTAATGCGAGGATAACTGTCAGCAGTTATTATTACAATTAGGGTTTGTGTTTAAATTGAATCTCTCTTCATTTCTTTTCTCGTGAATTGGAGGGATTGAGTGAAGGGAAAATTTTTTGCATTCCAACTGTTGTGTTCTTCTTCCCTTACCATGCTGAACTATGCATAGGAGGATGCTTGTTTCCAAATGGGCTACTTGTGCTTCCATTCTTGCTTGGATTTTTTCTTGTGAAATGTTTATTTCACATCTCCCTCCACCCCCCGCCCCCCATCTTGTGGGAAAATTTATGCCGCAATTGTTTATATCTATGTTGTGGGAAAATTTGTTATTGCCTGGTATATGCTTATTCGTTCTCTGTTTGAACATTGTTGAATCCATCAAAAGTTTGTCCTCTGTTGTATGTGTCTAAGATCTTGGTGTATTATTTTAAATGTTGATGCATTGGAATACTTTCTCATTTAATCTCTCCATCGTGAAGTTGACGGTTATTCTTTCATGAATTTGTCAGAATAATAATGGAACAGTTCCACTCTTCTCTACACCACGCAGTTTAATTGCTGAAAATCCTTTCACAAGCCTCCTCCTGTGCTCTTATTTGCCATCTGGAGAATTTACACGTGGGAGGCCTCCTTTCTCCTGGTGCCAACAAATCACAATTGAGGTATTAATGGAAGTGAAATAGGTCCTCGCAGTTTTTGTTATGGAAAAGTTTCCCATACATTTATTTATAAGAATGTTGGAGATGTATTTAAGTTGCAACACTCCCTGATCTACATTTGTGGTATTCATGGAAAACAGTTCTGAGGAGAATTATTTCCTGGAGTAACCATTAGCTGTTTATAACTATATTGCTTGTGGTTAGAGTTCGATCTATCTGATAAAAAATATGGTTTAAAGAGTTTTCTTCTTCAACTGAGGAGCTTAGAGCCTGAGACTCCTAGTGGCAGGTGCTTGTGCAGTAGTTTTATTGGGGATAGAATTTAGTGTTGTATGGTAACAGAACATGCAGTTTGATTTGGCAATAACAAAGTGAAAGAATAATTTCTGATATTTTTTTCATGCTGTTGTTACCACTCAATATGAATTCAACTGATCCATACATTGGCATAGAAAAAATGAAGAAATTAAGCTTCTGTCTCAATTTTTGCTCTTTCATTGGTGGGTCTGTTTACTGGATAATGGCTTTTGGTTCCTCCTTCTTTGGGTGCTTGTTTGGACATGACATGGTTTGTATCTAAGGCATATTGTTAAAGTCAAAATCAAATTGCTTTCTAAAATAGATGCACATATTGTTGGTGTAATCAGTCAAAAAATTTTAAATTTAGCTGGTCTTTATGTCAAGAAACACAGAAATAAAAAATTAAAAAAGAAACACGGAAATCATGTTTTCAGTATGATAAGATTTTCCAAATCATTTCTTTGCAGTGGCTAACTGCTGTGGAGCTTGGACTTCTAAAAGGCCGACATCCACTATTAAAAGATGTTGATGTTACCATCACTCCCTCGAAGGGTCTCACGATGCTTGAAAGCAGCTATTCTTCTAAAAATGGGAAGAAAGTGAACCGGCTCTTGAATTTTCCAAGTTTTGATGCACATTCGATTAATAATGTTAAGCAATCATTTGAAGCAAGTTATTTGGCCCCTAACTTCCCCTCAAAATCCAAACAAGAATCACAAGGACTGCAGAAAGAAGGTAAGGTATTGTCAGGACCTAGCAAAGATGTTTACATGGATCTTGTAGGGGAGGAGATGGTGAATCCCATTGACGGTGAAACAGGGCAGGTCGAACAGACTGCCAGAGTCATCATGAACATGCTGGATGTGACTATGCCTGATACTCTAACTGAAGAAATGAAAAAAAAGGTAATGGATTCTAGCTTTTTTCTTATGAACCAATATTTTCGATTGTCATGTAAGTTCCCATGACATAATCCTTTATAAACTTTTCAAATGAGTTGAATGGGTTGGCATTTTATAGTAGTTAGAATTGGACATTGATGGAATTCGATGTGTACCAACTTCTACTTGTAAACTGTATGCGAATTCGAATTGTGTCAGATATTTTCTCTATTGATCCCACCATCATATATCTGCACTATTGTAACATGCTTGAAATTGTTTGGTTTTCAACTTGACACTATTGGTGCCATCTAATATTTTAGAAATGTGTCGAAACTATTTTAAATGCGCAGGTCCTGACAGCTGTTGGTCGGGGGGAGTCGATATTAAAAGCTTTGCAAGATGCTGTTCCAGAAGATGTTCGAGGAAAGCTTACCTCTGCTGTTTCTGGGATCTTACAGAATCAAGATTCGTCTTTAAAGATGGATAGGCTACTAGGCCTTGGACGACTTCCTGAAATGACATCAAAGTTGAAGTCAACAGTCCAAGAAAAAGCCGGGCAGTCTAATGTAAAAAGTGAGAATGAAAATACTCCTGCTTCAACTCAAACTCAAATGGGAGACCAAACAGATGGTTCTAAGAGCCAACCCCACCAAAATAAGTTCCCTGTGGGGTCAGAAACTAAACTTCAGTCATCAGAGTATCAGCAAAGATCTGTGCAGTCTGCTGAGCATCAGTCCCCATCTATTTTTGAAAGTGACACCCCTGATTCAGACAAGACTACAGATGGCTTGGAAAGTGGTAAGGAAACTATGTATTCTTCCAAAGCGAACCAACTCCTTGACTCCAGGGAAAATAGATCAGAAACTTCCTTGCATCCTGAGGTACCTGGCAGGTCTGAAGGACCACATGTTACTGACAATAAACCCATTGGGCAGTCCAAAGAGCTCGATAATGAGGAGAGTCTTCCAGGGAGAGGTGAGAGCATGAACCAGCAAAATGAGGTACAAACTGTGGAAAATTCGGCTGATGAAACAAAGAACGTGGTGTCTGGTCAGACAGAGGACACGACTATAACTCCAGTTGCCGCTTCAGAGAGCCAATCAATGGACAAACAAGGGGGTGATAGTTTGAGGAGAGAAGATAACAGACCACAGTCTGGTTCAGTGGATGATCCTAAGCTTCCAAGCTTCAATGTTTCTCAGGCATTAGATGCCTTGACTGGATTTGATGATTCTACCCAAGTAGCAGTCAATAGTGTGTTTAATGTACTTCAGGATATGATTACCCAATTAGAGGAAGAGAGAGACGATACAAGCCGAGTGGAAGACATTACTAAGAGGAATGAAGATAGAGGGCCAAATACTGGTCATGAATTGAATGAAAAAGTTGAAGTTCAGGAACAGCAGATTGGCCCCAACTCCGAAAACAATATCATCAGCAACAATTACAAGCCAGGGAAATTGGAAGATGATAAAAAATCTCTGAACTTACCTTCTGCCACTTCACGTGATGCTAATGCTTTTATTCAAATTAGCTTCAAAGAAGAGTCTGCAAGAGACACCTCTTTATTCTATGAAGGTGATGCTGACCGGTCTAAAAATTACATGTATGAAGGAGATGGAAGGATGAAAGATTCGCTTAGTAAAAAGCTGTCCACGGAAAATCTTGTTAAATATTTAAACAGTATTTATCATCCAGGTGCGCTGTCTATAACTACAAACTTATATGTACCTCCACTTTACAGGGAGTACCTTCAGAAATATTTAGTTTCAAAGACGTGGATTTCCAAATCACTGGACTTGGGTTCAAATTTATCCCTTGACTATTATCCAGAAGAAGGGAAGTGGAAACTACTGGAGCTATCAGAAAAAGATAGTGGCATCAGTGATGATGTTAGCAATCATGGAGAAAGTGTCCATGATGATCAGACCCATTTGAAGGCTGAAGATGAAGGTGCAAATGAAATAATTGAACCATCGTATGTAATATTAGATTCTGAGGTGGGAGAGGAACAGGTTGACAAGAGCGACAGAGCAAATGAGACCAGGAAAGAACTTGATGATGATACTTCGGAGGAACTTTTTCTTTTTGTTAAAAGTATCATGTTGGACACGCTGAAAGTTGAAGTAGATCGAAGATTGAGTGCTACGGATGTGGAAGAAATGCAGCCAAGACTTGGTGAAGATTTGGAATTAGTTGCCAATGCAGTGTCTCGGTCTGTAGGACATGTGGAGCACACAAAACTTCACAAAATTAAGGGTTACACCTCCGATAAATTTGGTATTCTCGAAGGACTGCATATAGTAAATGCAATATCTTCTGCTGTTCAAGAAACCAGTTATTTGCGGAACGTGTTGCCAGTTGGGGTAGTCGTGGGCTCTAGCTTAGCTTCCCTTAGAAGGTATTTTGATGTATCTGTAGAGAGCCTTAATAGCCAGAAAGAAGGACTGGACCTTGATTATACTTCCGAAACTATGCCCGATGTTGATCAACTTGATTCTGAAAAGATGGAGCAGAAACAAGAGTTGAACATTGTAATACAGAAATGTGACACAGCAACTGAAACAAGCAGCTCAAATGGTAACACTCTTATGGTTGGTGCTGTGACTGCTGCTCTTGGGGCATCTGCCTTTCTTGTCGAACAACAGGTAGGAAAAAATAATCATGTGGCTTATATGCGTCTTCTTCTTCTTTCCTTGGGGTTGATGCATATGTTTTGGACCTTTGGTTTATGGAAGCATGCATCATTTTTACTCCCAGGCAATTACTTCTTTTGTTTTGAAGCTTGTGTAACCACAACTGTTGGCTTCCTGCAACTCTTTTATGAATTTAAGCACATCAACCAGGAAATGACATCATTTGTGTTTCCTAAGGAGGTGGACATATGGAATTTACTTGGACAGTTAGACCTCTTTTTAACCTCTGCATAATTAGTGAATCACAAGGGTAAAGAAAGATATTTATATACCACATTGTACATTAATTGTGAAGCTGCCATATTCTGCTGCTTTTTCTGAATTCTTCCTTCTGCATCCTTTCTTGCCGAAGAACCTTGCCATATCAAATTACGTTATGAAGCATGCACCAGGGAGACACAAATTTATAGTGTATGAATAAATTGGTGAATAAAATATTTTTAAAAAGTTTTTTACATGCTTTCTGTCTGCCTTCCTAATCTGCTTTGCATATTCATTGTCATCTTTCTCGCCATCACACATTTTTCATCTAATTTTATGGAGCTTGTGAATGCAGAGTTCAGGAACTAGTGAAACTTTATCCAAAAACTTAAAGGACAAAGGTAGTCATTATGAGAATCACAAGAATGAGGAGAAGATGCCAGAGAATTCACAGCATAATGTAGTCACCAGCTTAGCAGAGAAAGCTCTTTCAGTTGCTAGTCCTGTGGTACCTACAAAAGAAGATGGTGAAGTTGATCAAGAAAGGTCTGAACATCTACATCTTGTTCAATCTTAAACTCTATAGTCTGGAAGTTGCTTACAATCTTTCTTCTCGCACAGACTAGTGGCAATGTTGGCGGAATTGGGACAAAAGGGAGGCGCCTTAAAACTTGTTGGAAAGGTTGCCTTGCTTTGGGGAGGTATTCGGGGTGCTTTGAGTTTGACTGATAAGCTCATCTCATTTTTACGGATGGCAGAACGACCGCTGTCTCACAGGTACTACATATCTTTTGCGCAGCCCATTGAACCAAGAGGGTTGGTAAAATGTTCATATCACTAGTTTTAGTATATTCTTCTGTTGGGTTCTGTTTTAAATAATTTCTTTTAGCGGTTCCGTGGTGTAGCTCAGTGGATGGGAAGATCTATCTATCTGTATGTTAGTGTCCAAGTTCAATAGTTTCTAATGTATGATTTGACTGCAAATCCAGAATGTGAGTTTACCCTTTGTGAAAAACCGAATTTCCAGAGTCTGCCATTTATATTTGGTTAAGGCTGTAACTCTCACCCTTACTGATTCAGTAGTGACTGGTGTTCTGAACTGGGATAGATGCCCTATGGCTTTGCTGAGGTGGATGTCTAAAATTTTTCATGTTTTTTCTCCTAGTCATTGTCACAAGTAGATCCTCTCACTTAACCCAGATCATCCCAACAACATCAAGATGTTTCATACATAGAAGTCAAAATGATGGAAATGACTTTGTTATCCTCTTCATCAGTATCTTTGTTGATAAAATATGTTGTTTTATTATGTTTCAGGATCATTGGTTTTGGCTTCATGGTAATTGTTTTGTGGTCACCTGTTGTTGTTCCGTTTCTTCCCACTCTTGTACAAAGCTGGGCCAACCATCAGTCTCCAAGATTTGCAGAGCTTGTTTGCCTTATTGGCCTATATGTTTCTGTCCTACTGATGGTTACATTATGGGGTAAAAGAATTCGTGGTTATGGTAATCCACTTGAGCAATATGGACTGGATTTGACTTCATTGTCAAAGGTACATATAGTTGAGATTTTATATATTTCAGATGATTTTCACGAAGTATTGCCGGCCTAGGTATTATTGACAAGTTTTAACCTGTCCTATTTTTGCTGCCCATTTATGTGTAGCTTGAAAAGTCTTGTCATGGCAGCAATGATAAACTTCGATATTTGCATCAGTAAAACTAATTTTCTCACTGGCCTGAGAATTTAGATGGGCAAAGTTGTGTCCATCTCCCATTTCTGAGTGAAGTGAAACCACCACCTAGTTCAACTAGCTGTTCTCTTGTTATTCCCCAAGTGTTAGGTTTCCGAAAACTTAAATTTTCTTCATGCATTCTGTGTTGCCTGAAAAGTGAAGGAGGCCTTCCATGAAAATATTTGAAGCGGTAAAGCCATACACAATCATCTAGTTCTAGAGACTATGTGCGCCTCTATTGCATAGTAGTACCAAAGGTGACCATTTCTTTATTACCTTTCATGTTATTAGGTTTATGCAAACTTCTGAAATTCTTGCTATCTGTAATTTGTAGATAATAAATCTTCAGTTGGACTAAATTTGGAGAAGGGGATACTCGTAGACATTTTGTGGTTTTCATTAAATTACATGTAAATTGATACTTTTGAATCAAGTTGTTGAAAGGATCAACACGCTTTCGTCTTCTCTCTTGTCAAGTTGAAATCCTTGAAGTTTGAGGATCTTTTCCTTTTACTTCGACCCAAGAGTTAATATGGCTGGTTTTTTTCAGGTCCAAAATTTTGCAAAGGGTTTGCTGGGAGGAGTTGCACTTGTTTCATTAATCAACTACGTAAATCATTTTTGTGGCTTTGTCCAGCTATCGGGGCCTAGCTACCTTTTGGCATCATCTTCAAATGTTGTTGCATGGCTTAAATTAAGTGGGAGAACTCTTTTGTTAGTGTTTCAAGGACTTGTAACAGCAACTGGCATTGCAGTTGTTCAGGAACTGCTCTTCCGGTCTTGGTTACCTGATGAAATTGCTGCTGACTTGGGATATTATCGTGGAGTCATCATATCAGGACTTGTGTTTTCTCTTTCGCAGAGGTTGGTATCTTTTTGGTATCAAATTTCAAATGTTTTTGTTTGTGGTCATTAACTTTGTTATTACACAAACCAGAAATATAGTGTGAGAGATGCTTCTGATTGATTTACCACCAAATATCTCTGTCATTGTGATTTCAAATTTTACATTTTTGAGAACTGATTTCTCATATGTTTTCACACTAGCTATCCCCCACCACCTCCTCGCTTCCTTTTCTGTATTGGTGGAGTACAAGGGGAGCCTGTTAGCAAGTTTGTGATGTTTGGTCTATTATTCACAATCGTTTTGCTCTGTGTCCTTATGGTTATTTTAGAAATGAATTAATGCATACCTCTTAACTTGGATTCCAGATCTCTATGGGCTATACCAGGTTTATGGTTATTATCGCTAGCTTTAGCTGGCGCCCGGCAAAGAAGCCAAGGCAGCCTCTCCCTTTCAATAGGGCTGCATACAGGGATACTATCATCTAGTTTCATCCTACAAAGAGGTGGCTTTTTGACTTACAACCCCAGTAGACCAGTTTGGCTATGTGGTTCTCGCCCTTTCGAACCTTTTAGCGGTCTTACCGGCCTTGCATTTTCTGTACTATTGGTGATAATTCTCCATCCCAGGCAAACTCTAATAGTTGATGAAGAAATCAGGACCATCAACAGTGAGCCCATCTTGAAGGATGGTATAAAACAAGAATGAGAAAAATGTAATTTAGATAGGGTACAGTTAGATAGATTTCTTTGAATCCATTTACTGCCCAGAAAGGCAGAAACCCTTGTATATCATAGGGTATTACAGCTAGATAAATCCGTCCGTATAGTATGTAACATAAGTCAAGTTTTGTAGCAAAAGGTAGAGTTTCAGGTACATAGTCTACAGGAAATGAACCACGTTGTGGTTCTGTCTATATCTGTAAATGAATATAGAGTATACAACTTTTTTTTGGTTCCAAGTATTACAAATGAAAGCTGTAAATTTCATTATCCAGACAAGGAGGCGGCAATCTTCGGTTTCTGGAACTTAAAGGTTCTTTTTCCTCTTTCCCAATCCAACTATGTGTTTTCCTCTAATCCTGAACTGAATTCCTTCGGTATTATGGACCACTTCTGATCCATAATGAAATAGTTTTCCCTGCTATGCAAATCCCAATGGCTGCTTTCTGCTTTATTTTGAGGACAGGGAAAGTATGGATTCTAACCAGTTATCTGCACCATGCAAGAATGCTTCAACTGTATATTGCCTTTCTATTACGTCTTCACTGCAATTTCTTCTGTATCCTCCCCATGTTACTCTTTGCTTAGTATCCGATCCAGGTCCAGAATTCATGTACTCAATGTACTCAACAGTGTCTAACCTACTGTATGCATCCCAGGGGCTCCATCCTTCTGGGTTTATCAGATCATCCAAATAGCTCTTGATGACAACAGTCCTTGAGAAGTTCCTCCATGGTCTGCCCAAAAACGTCGGGAACTTTTTCTGGTCATCCAGGGTAAACTCTGGCGCAGCCTTTATGGTGCAATTCTGCAATATGATGCCAGTGTTCTGATTAGGATCTTCCCTTCCCTGAGCAGTGATCATATTCCTTTGTCCCGGAAGTGGCTTCAGAGCAAAAATCAGACAGTTCTCGAAGACGGCTGCTGCATTTCCAAATATGAAGTCTATGGTGCCTTGAATTGAGCAGTCACGATAGAATTGACGAAGGGAGTGTGCATACAAAGTGTCCTGATAAGAGATCATCTCACAACGATAGAACGCAGCATTGGATGTTACCCTTAGGGCAACTGCCTGATGCTTTTCTGGCAATGCAGTGTTGATAATTGTTAAGTCCTGGGCAATGAACTTGTCTCCAAGCACAGCTGTGAATATATCAAAAGGTAAATAAGCTAGTAAAATGAGCAGCATAACAAGAAAAGTACTGAAGATTCAACACAAAAACTAAAAATGGCATAAAGATGAAAACTAGGACTCTTTAAGTTCCTCATGTGGAAGCAAAACTGAGGCCAAAATGAAAACTTTCAACTTTTAGTTCACAAAATCAACAGCACTCAACCAAAAAACGACCTAATTGACATCTGATATTATGATGAATCTCAACAGTACTGAAAGTTCAAGGAGATGAAAGTTTTTAACATACTCAGAGTAGCTGATGCAAAAGTTGAAAAGCCATCTACAATATTTCTTGAACCAGCAATGATAGTTGAATTCATCCCATCTCCCATTAACATCAGATTCGTTTTTTCTCTGGGGATAATCACATTCTCCTCATAGATTCCTGCTTTGATTCCTATGGCATATCTAATCTTGCTGAAATTTGGGGCCAAAGCAATGGCTTCACCAATCTTACTGTAATTGCCACTTCCATCACAGGCTACAATCACATCTGGGCTCAGTTTCCCCTTCATTTGCATCATTTTTCGTTCTTTAACACTCATCCAATCCAGTAATCTATCTTCCGGAATCTTCATCAACAACATTCTCGGATTCTTCATAGTTTCTTGACGCCTAACTTTCTCCATATCTGTGATCATGGCCAGGCAATTACTAATCATTTGGGAAATTGGGTTCAACGAAACCTGAAAGTGTTTCTTGATCTCTTTCTGGGCTTCTGAATCTAACGCCTCCAAATCAGAGAGCCCGTCAATGCAGGAATATCCGTTCGTCATTGCAGCGCTAAGAAGGACTTTGAGATACCCATATGATCTCGGAAGATAACCCACTGATTCAGGGAACTGATGCAGGTTCTCAATGGCTTGTTCGAGTTCGTACTGAGTTTGATCAAGCATTTCCATACAATCCTTGATTGCGTTTTGCTGCTGTGAACTCCAGCTTTGATTTTGAAAACGAGAAATGCTGGAGACCTGGGTTTCGAGGACGTGTTTCTTGGTCTGATTGATGGCAAATTCGAGGATGTAATGGAAGCTAAGAACGGTTTGGTTGTTGTCTGATGAAACAGGGGAAGGAATGGAGGACAGGGTTGTGAAGCACAATGAAGTGTACAGAGTGTTGGCACAGGCTTTCTTGATTACTGAATTCAGATGATGATTTCTTGAATCCTCCTCTGCAAAGGATGATGAAGATGAAGATGCGGGATTGTTGAGAATTGCAGCAGCAAGAACTGCAATGAGAGTGAGTACGGCCATGGTTATCATCACCATCTTCTGGGCTCCATTCATATTCTTCCAGAATTGCAGAGATTCAGAGTTCTTAATGGTTGGGGAATTGGGTTCCATTTGGTCTGGACTTTGAAGAAAATTAGTGAGGCAATGAAGAGTTTCTTGGTTGGTATTAGAAATTTCAGAGAGGATTTAGAGGTGTGGCAGTTAAATAGTTATGAACCGTTCTGAAACTGGAAGTAAAAGAGCCAAAAAAAACAATATTTGAAGAGAAATTAGGTTTTATTAAAAATGGCAATTCAGAATGTCGAATTTCTCGAACTAAGAAAAGGCACATCAAAATCAGAATTCAGAAACAAAGCAGCCGAAGTACACAAAGAACTACCAGCAAGAAACTACTAACCAAATGCCCTCTGAAAACATTTTCAATTGAGGGACTAAAAGGAAAAACGAAAAATAACATAAGCCTCCTCTTTTTACACAATGATCTCAAAAGCCCCTTTTTATTGACTCTCGCAAGGCATCAGCTTCAGTAGATCTTCTTCACTCAACAGCCAATGGGACTGCTTCGGCCTGAAACACACCACAGAAGATACATAGATATTCAGTACAAAAAATGCTCAATATGATCAGATGTAGATGAAAGATGATCGTATCGAATAAACTCACCAGCTTGCGGTACTTGAGAGCATAGAACATCTCGAGGTAACGGCGAATCTCCTGGCGATCGAGCTTGGAGACATGTTTCCAGAATCCGTAAACTCCAGCCAGGGTCAATAGTCTGTCCGAATAGATTTGCCATGTATACCTATATAACATTTGCAAAACATAAGGGTCATTTGGGTTATCAAGTTTAGTTTAACCGAATAATGCAGATTGCATGTGAGAAAGGAAATGGATGCTTACTTCTCCTGGATACGCTTTAGGCCACCGGCCGAAATGGTCTCCCAATAAGAAGGCTCTTTCTTGCATTTCTCAAAGAAATTGACAAGGACTTCAGCAACTTGCTCACCATGGTATGGATCAATGTGGAAACCAGATTTTCCATTGATAATGATCTCAGCAGGACCACCGTACATGGTGGCGAATGTCGGCAAACCGCAAGTCATTGCCTCAACAACAGTCAAACCAAAGGCCTCATAAAATGCAGGTTGCACGAACACACCCCTTGTGTCAGCAATGTACCGGTAGAGCTCACCATTCCTTACTCGGTTCATCTGAGAAGAAATCCATCTGAATTGGCCATTCAAATTGTAATTCTCAATAAGTTCATACATTTTCTTCATCTCAGCCTGCTCCTCAATGTCCTTGGATTCCTTCCTTCTGTCGCCACCAACCACAACTAGGTTGGCCAATTCCCTCAGTTTAGGACTCTTTGCATACAATTCCACAAGCCCGGTTAAGTTCTTCACACGATCCAATCTTGCCATGGTGAACAAGATGGGCTTTGTCTTGTCTTTCAACACACACCTGCCAAAAGTTGGCCAAATGTCAAACCAAGCTTACAATGATTAATTTGTTCCCATGAGATAGAATAGTGAAAAAGAAATTCCACTTACAGGTGTTCCTCGTTCTCAACATCACTGTAAAGTAACTCTTCAATCTCGGGATGAAGAGCTGTCAATCTCTTGTCCTTCTCAGAATATGGGTAGTAGAGGTTCATGTCAGCTCCAGGAGAAACAATGTTGAATTTTGGATCAAACACATCTATACCATGTACAACTCTGTATAATCCTGGCATTGTGAAGGCCATGTGGCTTTCATACTGTCCAACAGTATCTTTGCTGAAAATTGAAACAAACAAAGTCCGTTATCATCGCTTGAAGAGTTTTACACCTTCAATTGTTCAAAAAAAACAATAACAAGCCTTTAGTTTACCTTCCAGCAATTTCTTGGAAAGTGCTAGTAATGATGAAATCTGTGTGGTTCATCGCAATAAGATCTGCGGTGAACTGGCATGAAAAGTGATACTTCTCATCAAATTTGCTCAAGTATATATCAGAATCAGGGTACTTAGTTTTCTCCAAAGCATGGGCTATGGTACACTGCCAAAGACAACATTGAATACTATTAGACCTCCTTTTTTATTGCATACGAGCAAACGTAGGGAAAAAGAATAGATAATCTTAAGGACAGACCTGCGTTACACCCAACTTGTGAGCAAGCAAAGAGGCAACAAGGTTACCCTCACTATAGTTGCCAATGATCAAATCTGGTTTTGCCTGTAATTCAGCAGCAAGTTCTTTTGCCACATCCTGTAAATATGCAAAGCAGAACCATGGTTATTTATCTTACGAATTTCATTATAAGAAAATGTAATGAACAAAAAATGCAATGTAATGTAATGTAAAGTAGCGGTCATGTTTCACACCTCAGTGAATCTTTCCATGTATGGCCAAACTTCAAAACGAGAGATCCATTTGCGGACAATTCCTTTCTCAGTTCTAAAGGGAACCCTGAGTATATGAGAGTATTCCGCCCCAAAAACTTTTTCAAGACGTTGACCACAAGTGGTTCCAGGTGCATCAGGTAAGAGCCTAGTTATCTACAAGACAAATCACATAGGATTGGTCACTAGTCATGTTTTGCAAGAAAATAGCTCAATACAAGAAGGAAATTTACGAAATCAATGCTGCAGCAACACTTACAATGAGAATGCGAGGCTTGATACCTTCAAGCCCTTGTTCCTTGATCCTTTTAAGCATTTCACGCTCCAAGGCTGGAACTTGATCCAAAATGTAAACAACCTGTGGAAACAATGATGATTAATATACACATCCGAAGAATTTAACTTTAATCAGGCCAGAATGCAAAATAAGCATCACTGAGCAACAACGCACCTGGCCACCAGTGTCAGGGTATCCCAACACATTTTCTTGGGCAAAGTATCCATGGGGAGAAAGTATGACAACATTGAAAACCATAGGGATTCTACCCAAGAATTTCTCAAGAGTGCAAGAATCAGGAGCCTCAAGGAGATCCAAGAGCATACAGATCATCTCCAACACCCGCTCGGCAGTGTCACCCCACCCTCTTTCCAATCCAATTTCTTGGAACTTGTGTTCGAAATCAGAGTATGGTGTGTCTGCTGGAAGCGTGGTGAGGTACTCTTCCGCTTTCCTGAGGACAGCTTGGAGAGTAGTTAGGTCCTTGATTCTGTCATTGAGCATCATTGTCTGTAAAGGAAACAGAACATCATCAGAACATGTCCAAAAACTTGCATATATTAATCACATTTCAAGAAATTGGTGCCTACAATTACCAAGTTTTACATATTTGACAAATTTTGCTACACAACTTTGCATTAAAGGAAGCAAACTGATCCAAGCTTACCTTTCCTTTGTACTGGTGGACACGGAGAAAGTCAAGAAGAGGAGCCATGCTCTCCTTGTCATGGAACATTTTGGCAGAGAGGTGCCTGTTGAGGAACTCAACTCCATTGCCAATGGACTTGGTCAAAGTAGGCTTGGGAAAAGATGCGGTAAATGGCTCAAAGTCCAGCTCCAAAACAAAGTTGCCATTTTTGCTGCATAAGTAAACAAAGAAAGCACCATTACACGACTAATGTGAGATAATGAGGGCAAATAAATACAATTAATATACATATTAAAAACTCTGAAATGTAATACTCCTCAAACTTACCCTCCATCCACAAGCTCTTCTTTGAATTGCAAATACTCAGGAACAGTTAACTCCTCAACGGCAAGGGCGTTAACATTGACTCGGACGTATTCCCACACACCTGGCCTCAGACGGATGGCCAGTGCAACCCAGGGAGGCAAAACAATTGCTTCCTGTATGGGAAACAATCATATCAAACAACTTAGAAGCTATTTAGACAACTTGTTTACTGATCATTGTGTGAATACAATGGATTTGCCAACTTTAAGTTTACCTGAGTGCACTTGAGCACTTCTTCAAAAGCATGGTCAGAGAGTTTCTGCTTGCCATCTTGGTTAATGGCTTCAAACTCAGCCAAAAGTTGATGGGGTTTTAGGATCCCCTTCCCTTGGCTTTCAAGCCTACAATATCATCATCATCATTTATCACTCACAATTTCACATTCAAGCAACAAAATAACATCATTCAGCAAGCGAAAAATCTGAAAACAACATGCTAAAATATGAAGTGAATTAAACCATAAGGTTATACTTATTATACCTTGACATGAACAACAAGATTTCATTGCGGTGAGCAGCCAAAGTAGCATCAAGACGTTCCCTAAGGCTGTGAACACGGGTCAGAACACGTTCCGCCATAACACTTGGTGATTGATGGATCAGATAGCTAGCTTATAACTGTATAATCAACAAAGAAAAATTTTTAAACAAGAAGAAAAAATAATCTATTGGGCTTATCCAAAACAGAAATGTTTTATACTAGTAATCAGAATTCAGCAGTGACAGAAGAAATCAAAAAAGTCAAAACGATCCACCAAATTTTATTCATTCTAGAACGTTACAATTTTTCTACACCTACCACATCACACAGTAAACCCAAAAAGAAAAAGCAAAAAAAAAAAAAATTGAAGTTTTAAGTCCACCTAACAAACGCAATCACATGCAGAGGTCTTCCTTATATTTGTACAAGTGTCACAAATTTGGGGAGGCATCAACAACATTAATAACTGGGCCAGTACTTTCATAATAAATGAAGTGCATGCGTGACAATCAAGAATAGTGCTACATAATTTTTTTAAAGGGGAAAAAATACATTTTGGGTGGCAATCAAATCACAAAACCAAATTCTAAATTTTAATAAAGAACACAGTAACAAAATCTAACAGCAGTCAAAGTTGACGGATTGCAAAGATAAAGAAGCATGAAGTCCATCAATTTAGTTCAGATCTAAACTACACAGTACTCATGCGCAAGTAGTACGAGGTTATTACTCCAATAAATTCGTAATTATTTGCTAAACAGAGTAGTCGCGATGGATTTGTAGATCCAGCAGAAAGCCAAAAAAAACAGAGGCTAAAACAGAGAATGAAGAATTAAGAGGAAATCAACATCGTCAGATACTAACTAAAGCTGGCACAACACAAAAGCCAGAAATCCTGCTGAATTGTCAAAAACTTTAAACATGCAAAAGGTATAACAAGAACCCACATAACTGAAAAAGGATGGGGAGAAAGGCAGAGAAGTAAAGGATGAAGAATTAAGGAGAAAAGTGCAAAAGAACTCACGAGAAAAAGTATTGCAGAGAAGGATTGCAAGTATGGATGATGCATGGAGAGGAATACGTGAATTTATTGTCAAATTGGACAACAAGAAAAGGAATGAGCTAAAAATTAGACCCTTCCTAATTTAAAAAAATTGAAATTTCCAGAGACCAAATTTTGGACCAGAGAATATTTGTTCTGATTTTGTATTCCTTTTTTAAGTCAATGGCTTTCCCAATTTCAGATCTTCTAGTAGCTTAAACCATCTTGCCGGACAAGTTATGTGATTCCGGCAAACCGACATAGTTTATTCATTTATTGTACTTTTCTTCTTATCCCATCTGACTTTCCCGTTTTAATTTATAAATAATCCACCAACTTCTAAACCCAGAATTTTTAGCAGATAATTCAACGAAATCAAAATAGTGTATACTCCTAAAATCTCTGCCCCCGGCCAATTTTTTTTTTTCCTTTTCCTGGTTTGGCATAATCCAAGATCTCCCAGAACCGACAAATCAGCTCTGCGAGAAAATTCTCAGACCGAAGTTTTCTGACTTCAGAGCCACTGAAAAGGAAACTTAAGCCGAGCCCAGTTGAAACAAAAAAAAGAAAAAAACTTTCTTTTCTTCTTCCCCAATGAAGATAAAGAAGAAGAAAAGATTGCATGCAGAAAATAGAAGGGAAAAAGGAAAAGAAGAAAATGTAGCAGAATTTTTCCGTGTAAATTACCTTGTGAATAATGACCAAAAGGACTGAAAAGAAGGAAGAAAACAGAGAGAAAGAAAGCCCAGTAAAGGAGCAATCAATCAATGGAAGAAACGAAAGAAAGAAAGAAAGGAAGAATCTTTGAGAAAAGAAAGAAAAAGAGTAACGGAACTGCACGAAACAGAGGAGATGAATGAATGAATGAAGTTTGATGAATGATGGTGGAGAAGGTGATCCCCGAGGTGGGTTTATATACACCAAAAACCGTATTAAACACTCCCCAAATCCATCATCAATTAGTAGTAGGAAGTAGTAATAGTACAAATTAATAAAATTACTACTGGGGAAAAACAATTAAACAACTCTGGAAATGAAAAGAGTGGTTTAGCTTTAGCAGCAGCAGTATTGTTTGTGATTGGCAGCTTGATGATGACGGTTTTGGGACAAATGGGGTCTCGATTAAAGCGCAATTTGAGTAATAATTAAGACATTGTTTATTAGTACTAGTATTTTGTTTAGAAATTCTTAAAATGGTTCCTGTGTTCTTTTCACTGGAAAACCACTTACCATCATCCAATACCGGATAAAAGATATTCAAAAATCAAGAACCAAACCATACTGGTTGAAATTGGTCCATTTATCCAAAACCGAAGCCGATTAGTAAAATTCTGTGGATCCTTTTGAATAGTATTAATACTACTACTATACATGTACGGTTTTGTCAGATTGGAGGAATATTATTTTTTTTTTCTTCGTTTAATGTAATGATAGTGGGATATTTTTTTTTTTTTAATTGGAAATCCCAATTTGGATTTTTGTTTGAAAATTCGTTTTGACCATTAATTGGTGGTTGTGTTTGTCAAGAATCGTCATTGGCGACGTTACTTTGGGAAGGAACAAAAACCGCTTTATATTCATTAATTTATGTATAATCTGGAGTTTCAATGTGGGATTCTCCGAATCTACTCTTGGGCAATGTTGCTAAACTGGAGTTCCAATTTGAGTCTAGTACTTAACATATAGTTAATTTTTTTTAATCCAGGAGTATATATTTTTGGTGCTTAATATTGTGCTCATATGTTCAATGTTACTAATAAAGACCTCTGTTCTTATCCAATTAGGGGGGGTGACCGAGGATAGTTACGTCAATTAATGTTTAGTACGATCGGGTGCCGTACAACCTTTTATGATGAGAATACGTAAAAAACGACTGGGAAAAAGAAAAAAAAAAGTGTCCGATTAAAGAAGTGCAAAATGAGACATTATTTGTTGTGACTCGTGACGCTGCTATTTTTTTCCTCTTATGATTCCAATTTCATTTTTTTTTCCCTCTTTAACATATCAAAATTTGACATATTTTTTCTAAGCATGGCAGGAGCTTAGAAGATTTTCTTGGACGTGACGGATACACATAGTAAATTTGTTCAGTCCAAACGAACACACATATCATGTTTTGTTAGTATTCCCTCCATTCTAAAATAAGTGTCGTTTTGGCAAAATTGAGAAATTTTATAATAAGTGTCGTTTTCAGATTCCAATGCATTTTTTGTGAAAAATTTCCAAACATACTCTCAAAAGAAATAATATTATTGGTGAGCATTTATTTTAATGGGGTTCGTTGAGGATATTCTAGTAATTTAGTTACCTTATTTAATGTTTTCTTAAATTATGTGCAAACTCTAGAATGACACTTATTTTGGAACGGATGGAGTATTTATTATAAACGTGTCGTTTGTCGTATGACCAAATCATCATCATCATCATCCAGACATAAAACGTGAAAACGAAAGTACCACTATCCTAAATCCTTAAAAAAGAAGACCCAAAAAAAAAATTGGCAATTTATGGAAAGAAAATGCAGCATTGAAAAGATTTTGATTAGAATTGGATAGAGCAGGGGAAATGAGGTTCGGTGGCATACAACTAATTACGAAAAAAGTGTTTTAAAAAGGATTTTGATTACAGCTTGTGCTTAGCTAACTTGTAGTAGTAGCTTTTTGTCTCTCTTGATGAAGTTGATGCTTCGGAAATGAAAATGTGCCTTACTTTTTTTTTTTCTTTTTTAACGGTGGTGGTGACTTCACCGGGGGTTTTCTATTGGAGGAAGGATGAATCAGACGGTGGGGATGTTCTGTTCCCAATTGCTGACTTGGAGTAAATCTATTGGCGGAGGTGATGAAATCGGAACCGCAAACTTTATTGGAAATTGACTTTTCCGGTGCAGATTGTTTCTTTCTTGGGCTTTTGCCTCTTGGTTGATTATGAGCCGTTGGATGGGACTCAATCCTGTGATCCAGCGCGAACTGTAACTGATGATGAAACCGTCTCAAGTACTGGGATTGTGGAGAGGATGAAGAGGCGGTCGGGGCCCACTTAGGTGGTGAAAAAATGTGAGCTCCGGGTCCCATCCGCCAAATGCATCCAGCTGAATTTTCGGTACTGCCCAGTTTGGATACGTGGAGCCGTGGGTCAAACTTTTTTGTGTTAATTGGATTTAGTACCCCGGTAGTTATAATGTTACTCCCTCCATTCACAAATAGATGTCGTTAGAGAAAAACCCAAATATTCCAAAAATGGATGTCGTTCTTACAAATTGAGGCATATTTTGTCAATTTTTTCCAATATTACCCTTACATTGGAATTGTAGTGGTGTTTAATGTAGAATTGTATTAGAAGTAATTTTATTGGGACTACAATTGAATTAAGAATAAATGAGGGTATTATAGTATTTTGACAAGATAATTATTGTCTCCTTAAACTTTGTGAAATCTCTCTACCGACATCTATTTGTGAATGGAGGGAGTATTGTACAACCCCCCTTCAATTTACAATTCCACTTTTTCATTTTTCACTTATTGCTCTTTGCAGTCAGAAAAGTTAAAAAAAAAATTACTCATCTTTACTCGAATAGGACAATTTTACCCTTGACAACTACAAATTTCTCCTCAAACTATCAAATTGCTTTTCGTCTTCAACTCCCCAAGAAAAAAAAACAAAAAAAATCAAAATGTCAAACTCAGATCTACAATCTAAAACAATGGCGGAAAAAAGAAATCAACCACCGAAAGACTCGGCCTCAATTCTAGTATATTTTTTTTACCTAAAAACTTTAGGGATAAAAAAAAAAAAAAAAATTGGGCAGTGTAGCCTATTGGTCCCAAACCAGCTACCCAATAAAAGGTAGTCGATCCGAATCCAGCTACCGGGGGAGAAATAACCGGTTCCAGATCGGCTACCTCTACTTAGATAGTCGATTTCGATGCGGCTGGTCCTTCACGAGTAGTCGGTTTTTGTTTCGCTATCCCTGGCCAGAATTTATTTTTTAATTTTTTTGGTTATATTCATTTTAATTATTAATCATATTTTTTAATAATTAGTTTTTTAATGAGTAGTATTAATCTTTGTTATCTATATTTTTTAAATTTAAATGAGTAGTATTAATAACTATTGTTTATGTAAATAAAATTTAATTTAGTGTTAATTATATTTTTTGTTATTGTTATTTTTCTTGTTATATTCATTTTAGTTATTGATTATTACGAATAGGAGGAAGAGGGGGAAGAAAGGAGAAAAATAAGAGGAAGAGGGACAAAATTATTCTAAACGATTGCAAGTAAGCAATTTTTATAACTGCAAAGCGCGATTCACAATCTAATTTCTTATCTGTTTACGGAGCATATGCCTAAAAACGAAATTACTTAAACACTGTGAGAGTAGGATGTCCTTATTACATTGTTTCCAACTATGGTTTGATATGCTATTGTGGTCTTGTGGAGCGTCAGGTGGATGCTTCCTGAAATTAAATCAAAATTTTGATATTACTTACTGCGAAAATAATATTTTTATCTTTCTTTATTTATTTTTTGCAATTCATTATTTAATACTTCAAAATAAAAATTTGTAGAACGGAAGTGACAAAAAATAAAAATCATTGCCTCATTGTTGAATATACAGTATAATATCTATAAATTAATATTGTTAGGATCCTAAATAAATATTAATACATAGATGTATTAATTTATCGATAAATTACTAATTATTAATTTATCAATAAATTAACAATCTATTAATAAAATTTTTAAAATTTTTGTAACTAATGTCATTAAAACTTTGACTTAGTATGAAAATGATGATAGTTTTTGAAACCAAATACTTCCTCCGTCTCATAATTATTGTCCAGTTTGGGTTTTCATTTCTAGTTCAATTTGTACTAAAAGTGAAATCTCAAATTGGACAATAATTTTGGGACAAAGGGAGTACACGAAATAAAACACCTAATGGGGCAATAACTTTTTGAAATTTTTTTTTGCAATATGAACAATCTACGGCAGAGTTTTTAAAAGCAATGGAAAAAATCAAAAATGAAATTTCTTTATATGTAAATTTCAAGAAAAGTATATGTTACTATATTGATATTTTATTTCTCCTTATATTTCAAGTCATTATTAATTTAGGATATTGACGGAACTTATATTTATATAGAAATATTCAGAAAAATTATTATCTTACTATTTTATCGATTTTTTTGTTTTTTGTATTGATCCCAATTTGAGACTGGAAAAAGTTATTAATTTATAAATATTATTAATTTATCGATTATAATTTATAAATGTTCTACTGTATATTTGAACATTACACATGAGTCTACGGCCTACAGTTGATACAATCCAGAGTTTAAAAAATAAACACATTGCTAAAAGAAAAAGGAGAAGAAAACTAGTTAAAAATAAAAAAATAAAAATTGCTATTTGTCTAACGACATTAATTCTAGGAATATCCCAGTTATGCATACAGCATACATCAAGCGCAGAAAGAAACTGTGCGAACGTCCCTTTCATTTTGTTGGAATCAAATGTTGTATCATTATTTTCTTGGCTGCTGCGGTTCGATCAAAGCAAGAATTAAGACTAGAGGGACCTAACTTGAAATTTCTTTAGCTCGAGAACCACGTTTTTGTTCCCTTCTCTGTCTTTTTTTCCCCCTTTCATTAACAATAGCCTGCATTTTCCATGAGAGAGGTAAATAACCTCAGGCAAATCTAGGATTACAAACTCAGGTGTGAAATCAAAAAAGCACTCCAAAATTGTTTATGGACATAAGTAGAACTATCGCACACTCCTATTAAAGTGCGGATAAAACTCACGATCTTCTCTTAAAAATAAAAATGTCTTTATTACTCCATGTATTCTAAAATAAGTATCGTTTTAGCAAAATGAAGAAATTTCAAAATAAGTGTCAGTTCTCACATTTTAATGCACTTTTTGTCAAAAGTTTCCAAAATTACCCTCAAAAGAGTTGATGTTATTGGTGGACAATTTTATAATGGGGTTGGTTGAGGATATTCAAGTAATTTTATTACCCTATTTAAGAGTTTCTTAAACTATGTGCAAAGTGTAGGACGACACTTATTTTGGAATGGAGGGAGTACTAAACTAGCATATCATTCATAGCACATTTTTACGGTCTAAACAAAACGCACATTGTAAAAATTAAATAAACAAAACAAACACACCAATGTACTTTTTTGCCAACCAAAAAAAAAAATAAAAATTGTCAACCATGATGGCATTCGCTTGTCAAAAAGAAGTTTATTGTATTGTTTCAACTCAACATATATATGTTCTTATAGTATAATTAATCTCCTGAATTAGACGAGATCACGTCCCATGTCACCTAATAAAGTTCATCACCACGGGCCACAGGTATAATAGAGAATTAGGGCTTGTTTGGCCAACATTTTACTTTAGTTTTTGTTTTAGTTTTTTATTTGAGTTTAAGATATGATTTAAAATGTGGTTTGAGATAAAATTTAAAAAGTTATTTGGATAATATTTTAAATAAAATAATAATATTTTCAGACCACCTCTACCATCAGCGTCGTCGCCGGACCGCCGCCGGCTGGCGACCGAGACCGACCCTCCAGATTCCGATGAGTTGGTCGAGGTGGTCCGGTGGTTGTGGAGGAAAATTGTGTAAAAATAATGTTTGAAATAAATTTTAAAAAGTAAATTAAAAAATTGTTTAGGAAATATTGAGTTTTGTGTTTGAGATGTGTTTTAAGAGGTAAAATAAGAAAAAATACAAATTAAAAAGTTGGCCAAACAACTCCTTAATTTTTTCATGTATTCCTTCTAGTATTATCGAAAATGTCATTCATGTATTCCTTCTAGCTTGTTCGAAAATTCTCCTGAAACATTCTATTTCTATTTCATTTGTGTGGACAATGGGAGGCTGGAGATACGTATCGTCAAAGAAAAATGTAGATACATTTAATTCTCATCCACGAAGACGAAGTCGATTTCTTAAAAATGTTTATGTACCCCGAATAAATTAAAGTGAGAAAATCTGGAATATTAGTACTCTTTTTTCTCCCCCATTATTTTGTGCATGAGATAGGAACACATATATTATCGATCACGCAAACAAGGGCTTATATATATATCTGTTTTCAGGCATATATATATATATATATATATATATATATATATATATATTGAGTTCATGGCCCCCGATATTTTACTTACTTTTCAACATTCGAATCGCACTAAAATTCTCTGATTAATTTAAACTATCTTGTCGAATGAATTTATTATTTATTATTTAGTTAATTATCGGTTTATTTTATGAAGGAATTACGATTACTTTAACACTCGTGATTTAATAGCACCGTCTCTTTTTTCTTTTTTCTTTTTTAATATTCCCCAACGAATATGATTTGACCTCTTATCTGATATAGCCAGTGATCGATCTCTAATGCTATAGCAACATCCTTGCTGCCGAACAACTCACCTAATAATTAGGTCAAAACGTAAAAATGACAATTCCAAAATCACCCAATCATGTTAACACGATAACTAAAAATTTGCAACATATAAATATCTTTTGTTACATCATTGCCTTTCTATTGTTCCTGCTTTTGGGTTTGCCAAATTCACACTCAACAACGTTTTCATCTGTGAGTTAGTAGCGATCACCGTTAATTAATAATAATCACCATACTTTAAAGTGAAAAAGAAAAGGAGATTTAAATAAGATATGAAGAGGATTTTGGATATGGTGACATTGTCTGCCATGTCCAAATATATTGTTAAAATCTAAATGCTCTACATCTCTTGGCCTAGTTTTGTATATACCGAATTATATCTTCAAAAAGTTTCGTACAGTATACCGTAGCATCCCACTGTTTTTATTTTAACTACTCCCTCCGTCCCATAATTATTATTCACTTTGGATTTTTATTTTTAGTTCAAATACTAAAAGTGAAATCTCAAAGTGAACAATAATTTTGGGACAGAGGGAGTATATGAATTGGAGTATTCATTTTTAGAATTTAACTAATAATTTTATCAAAGAGATAAAATTTATATTGCATGTCTATTGGTTTATCATAATCTTTCGAGCGTACGAT